GGTCACAAACCTCCTCTGGTGCTTGATTCATGTTATATTTTGACCAAAGTACAGCACAGATGTTTAATTTAGACCACAGGGGACTGTTTGAAAAGGTAGAAAAGGAGTATATGTCCTCTTTAAATAAAAATAAACATAAAAAAACAGGTTTCAGCTGCTTACTTTTGTTTGTATTTATTTATTATCCAATATGGTTTCTTTTTTTGTTGTCGATGGCTGTGTTTAGTGTCTTTAAAAAAGTACTGGAAACATTTCTCTTTAACACCACTGCTCTGAGATTTTGTTCTTCTGCTCAGATTTTTGAATCTGCCTGCTTTTACTTGTTTGATTGTAGATGTTGCTTCTATGCTCTTCTTCCAAATCTACGCAGTTTGAGATTTGTCTCAAATGTGAAGTGTATCATATATAATTACTATTGTCAATAAAGTCAGCACATTTTGTCCTTAATGCCATGCTCTATCAGAATCCAAACTACAAAATTTAAATTTAAAGAGAGATGACAAAAGCTGCATTCACTGTAGTGCAGTTAACATTTTAAAGTCCCTCCACTGAAATAACCAACCTCTTTTAGCCGTCTGTTTAACAGGGTATATAAAAAGTCATGCTATCCGTCTCATCTTTTACCCCCAAATTATTACTGTTTTCCTGTTATGTAAATGTTATAGTTTTGATTCTGCAGGTCCTAACGGTTGTTCCAAACCCTCAGTGTTAACACAGTACAGATTCTTATATGCATTCGTGTTTATTACAACATTTGAACAATGAGTATGAATGAGAAGATAAATTGAAATGTCAATCAATCTGCACACACAATTAAAAATGGCACAATGTAACACAATCATGACCAAAAACAGAAAAAGGGATATTGTCCTGATGCACTGGAAACTGAAAACGATCTTCCTTGACTTCTGTGACATTTAGTCTCTGTCTTGTGTCACAAAAGGATGAGGAAAACAACAACATCTGAAGGGGAAAATAATCAATATCTGTATTTGGTAGAATAATCCTTTGGAGACACCACGAGACCTCTTCCTTTTCTCGCACCTCGGTACACGGTTTCAACAATGTCAATCATCTCCTGCTTGTCCTCCATTGTCCAGTTAATTTTATTGTTGTTTCCTGTTCCCAAATCAATCATGATGTGTTTGTTCCTGGAAAAACAACAACACAAAAACAAGGTGACCTGACCGACAGGAAGGATTTACAATTGAAGCATGAGGCCGTCATACAGCAAACAAGTTCATTTAAAATCACAATCATTAACATCGTCAACTAAGTAATGACATACCTGAAAAAGAACATGACTGTGCAGGGGTCGTACAACTCGTACATCTTATTGAAGTCAGGTACTTCTGTGATATCCACCAAGTAGATGACTGCAAAGTTTTTGACCTGTTGAGAAGTGCGTAGGTAGATCATCAGTTCAGTCAACCATGCTGGTATCATTTTGAACAGTAAAGCTTTCATCGAAACATGGAGAGGTCCGTTTCTCTTTTAAAAGTAACTGCTGGTCCGTTCACGATGCATTAAACACACACGGTTCTTCACATGACACTTAAAAGGGTTATGTGGTGAGTTAAATGTAAAAAATTAACTGTTGCTAAACACGCCATTAACTAATATGAGTGTTTAAACAAGTAACAAAAAATAAAGTAACATAAATGCAGCTCATCATAGCTTCACATAGGACATCTTCAATAATGTCTGAAAAATGGCAGACTGAAGATAAGACCCCTAACAATGGTGCCTAAAAAAGTGGGTATACTCTTAATTTTTTCTCCATTTTTTTGTTTTTAAGTGGGCCTGTCTAGCAGAGGATAAACAGCCTCTGTTATAAACAGTGACATGTTAGACTACTCCTACATATATGTGTGTACTAGTCAATTAGAGAGTCATCCCTTCACCGTCAGGGGAAATAAATTGCAGAATACTACTAACGGTAATATTGTCAACTAATCAATGGTATTAATCAGAGGAGATTTAGAAGTGGGTATACCTTATGGAGACTGCAAAATAAGTGGGTATACTCCATATACCTGCGTACTCTCTACACCAGTGGTTCCCAAAGTGGGGGTCGGGACCCCCTGGGCGAGACACTGGGAGGGGGGGTCGCGAGTTGCCCTCCAAAAATAAATGCAAACTGGAAATGACTTGAACTATTTGACCTATTATTGTGAAATTACATACAGAAATGTTGTTCAATTAGTTTAAGGCTGCTGTATTTTTTTTTATTGTTGTTCTAATGTCAGTGTTTAGGATAGGCCATTAGTGCGTGCTGCTGTGTGCACCGTTATGCTTTAACCACTTCGAGGGACAGAAGGGGTCCCCGGTCTCTCGCATCGTTATTTTGGGGGTCGCGGGGTGAAAAGTTTGGGAACCCCCTGCTCTAACCACTGGCCCATAAACAAACCCATACGGAAATCATGGTCCTAAAATCAGCAAAAGAAACAAAAACTGCTTCGAGCTGAACACAGTGATGAAATGTTGACCTCCCTTTTGAAGACTGCAGTGAAAAAAAAAAAACAATGTATAAATAATCTACAATGAAGTTTCTATACTGCAGATGTTGAGGACCTGTGGCTATGGTACTTGTCGCAGCAGCTGTGGGCTGTAGCAGAACTCTGCCCTTGCTGAATGACAACGTGGACCAAAACAATCACAAGGGGAAAAAAATAATAATTGTGAAGTAATATTAATATTAAGGAAAGCTTTTAAAACACAAGCTGCCTTGACTACTGCAGTCTTAGATGACCATATTATCTATCTTCTTCCATCCTGACTGAAATGCAGAATAAATGAGAGGAGTTACTTTCAAGGTGAACACATTTAGAAATAATAGTAAAACACATTAATCAAGACTAAATGTTTGAGTCTGAACTAAGAGTAAACACCTTGGTTCAGGCTCAATTGCTGTTCCCATAGAACTCAATGTTAGACACAGTGCTCTCTTTATGTTTTCTGTAAGCATCACTCACAGCTGATCAGCTTTTACTCATGCTGTGGCAGAAGCTAATGATGCTAACGTCACAACACAACAAAGTTTAAAAAAAAAAAAAGGCTGGATCAGACATCACTCTCACCTTCTCGGCGATGCTGTAGAGAACCTCGTCCATTTTCATACATGTCGGGTCCCAGTCGTGACCGAAGCGGATCACCAGGACTCGGTCCTCCTCGGACAGGATGGCTTGATCGACCTGCCAGCCATTGTGAAGATGTGGTAGCATGTACGACATCTTGCTTTCTTCTTTGTGTCGCTTCCCGAGCTGAAAAATAAGTAAAGTTACGTTACAAACATATTAAACCAAAGAGAGGATATCAAAGGTTACTCATACGAATAGCCCTTACCTTAAATACAAAAAGACAACTTTCAGCTCTGCGAAGTAAAAGAGAACCTTCACGACACTGGTACGTTCTAATTCTTCTTCTGTTGTTGTTTTATTGGTTGTAACCAGATAGAGTGCGCATTACGCCAACTACTGGACTGGAGTGTGGAGCAGGATAGGCAGCCCCCCCCCAAAAAAAAGGATAAGCACCTAAATTATGCCTGTTATTTATGTGTGTGTGTGTGTGTGTGTGTGTGTGTGTTTTATTTTATTTTATTTTTAAATTAATTTCCTCTTTTACAAGATCCAGTTCCCAGATTATGCTTCTGTGCTTTACGTTCTTCTTCTTCTTCTTTCTGTTTTCTGGCGGATTGCAAATCCCAATTTAAAGGTGAATAGCGCCACCTACTGCTGTACCGGAGTATATAGAACGGGTTCTAGTTTTACAAGATAAATATTCACTTATATTTAAAAAAAATATATAATAACATAAAGTAAATAGGTGAATAACAAAAAAATCCATGCAACTTTTGTAAGCTATGTCTATATATTGTGTCCAAATATATAGCCTACATATAGGCTACTGTACATATTCATATTATCTCCAACTAATCAGTCCTTACTAAGTATAGTTTTGGGTTCTTTCCTAATTTCCCCAATTTTATCCCCATTTCTTTTCAGAATCCCCCCTATGTTCCAGTTTGTCCTGCGTCTCTCACCTTTTATTTTAATATTTTTCTGTCTGTTTTGTATTTGGCACAATGCATTATAATGTGTTCAGCATTTTCTTTGTTACAGTATTCACATATTTCTGAATTTACTTTTCTCATTAAACAGAGTGTGTTTTTTAATCCAGTATGGTCAAATCTTAGTCTAGATATAACTATGTCCTCTCTTCTACTTCCTTTAAGTCTTTCGTCTGTGGTATGATCTGCCATTGCTTTCCTTGTTCCATTTTTTTCTGTCAGATATTTAAGTTTTAATAATTGCTTTATTAGAATGTTACATTGTGGGATACACAACTTCATGTAACAGTATGGGTGTGGGTGCAAAGTTTTAAAGTCACGTATTAACAATAGAAACAAGCATATGATCATGTGTATGATACTTGTTCATGTATTTTAATCATTTTCAACCTCAAAATGTAATCAAATATGAAACATTTAAGTTTCTGGACACTAGAAATATGTTATAACCTGGAGGCCTGACCAAAAACCTAAATAATTTAATATTGATTTTGCTGGTTTGTGTATTTGTATTTAGTTTTGCATTAAACAAGTAGTGGGCATTTCACTTTCTATGTTTCTGTTCTTGTATGTTGTATTATGCCCTTATAAAGCACTTAACACATATGTTTGAATGTATTTGTATTGACCTATTTGACGACTTCATGAATTCACAGTAAGCAAGCCAAAAAAAAAATCCTGTGTACATTGAAAGTACTCCCAAAAACCAATATATCGTACATCTTACATATGGCTGGTATAAAAACAGACTATTTGTTTTGATGTATAATAGGTATATTATTAGCTATATACTGTAATTCAGTCCCCTTAGTGAGAAAGGCATTCAGGGGTGAGTATAAAAAAGTGTTTTTCAGAAGATTAAAGCTGCATGGCTCTTAGTCTCCAGTGCTTTCTTTTCTTGAGAACTCACACCTAAAGAATGACTCAAATATAGTCAAAGTAATACAGATGTATTAGTGTGTACCACCTTAGGTAAATTGAAAGCTGACATTACCCAAGACTACTCATTCTGCAAACACAAGAAAGAACATTTGAACCTTGTCCCAGCATGCCCACCCCCAGGGAGTCATAACTTTTCTTCTCTGCCTTCTCTCAGCTGACAAAACTTCATCATCATCATCATCTGTTTTTGAATTGCACAACACAAATACCTTGAAATGTCTAAATCTTGGAGCACCAATAGCTTAGCGGTTATGTCGTCTGCCCCATGTGCAGAGGCTATAGTCCTCGTCGCAGCGGCTGTGGGTTCGAGTCCAAACTCGGCCATTTGCTGCATTTCATCCCCCACTCTCTCCTCCGAATGTTTCACAAATACAAACATTTATTGATGTGCAATTTTTACAGTACAAGTAGAAAGAACAATAAACAAAGGTTATACTCTTTTTTTTTTGTCTTCTCCAGTCTACGACATAGCAGCATATTATGGCACTCCTCATAAGAGCATGAATCATCATTAGATCTGACTTATATATTTTTTTAAATTCCACCGCAAAACGACACAATCACATTACTGTGGTTCTGAATGGCCAGCTGATTAACAGAGACTATTTCACATCATACTATTTGGTGATTGTTTAACAATGATAGCCACAGTGAAATTAAGTTCTATTTCCTAACAACCATCAACGCTAATCCTCCCTTAAAGCTGATATTGACATTTGAATTCTGTATGGCTGTTTTTAACATTGCACAACACCCTCCTTCGCTCTCTCTCCTGATCAACTCTCGGACAGTCTCTCCACCTTGATCACTGCTAACAAAAGAGAGGTGACTCCCTCCCATGTTTGTGATAGTCCTCTGTTTTAAAACACCGCCCTGTTCAACAGAACAGTTCAGATTCCGGGTTGTATGAAGCTACTTAAGGCCAGTAGGTGGCGTTGAAAAAAACAAACAAAAAAAAAAAATTCACATATTTTCTAGAGACAAATAAGTCCATCAGTGGTTCTTTGAACATCCCACGATGTCGGGAGAAGCACATCCACTGTCCATTGGTTTCCCATCAGGCATCATGATAAATCCTGTACGCTATAATGTCTTGAATTCCCTGAGGAGCACTGATGCTTGGCGGGAACACACAGTTTTGGGATGAGGTCAGGCACACAGTCTACCACAGTGATGAACATTTGACTGATAGTGTACTCTTGCAGCTCTTAGTCAGCAGGATGCTCTGGACATGAGCGATTCACCTCAAACCACTCGTCTATACACCTGAAACAGGAAAAGCAGCGGGTGTTAGAGAAGATATTCTCTCAATTTGAAACTTTGCAGAAACACAATATCAATTGGACTGATCTCCTCTAAAAACATTTTAATAAAATCATTTCTTCATATAACATCTTATTACCTTGTAGGCTATTTGTGTTTTTTCTTCACATACATTTTTGTATTACCCTGACACATGATTTTGCATTATTAAAAAAAACTGCTTGATGAAGGTGTTCATGAGCGTAAGATGGTTGATGCCTTTCTCATATCAGTCTGTTGAATTTAATGACAGGGAGCCTACTATGAGTGAAAGGTTAGCTTAGCAAATCTAAGTATAAAGGTCGGAAACATGGGAAACCGACTGTCTGGCTCAGTCAAAACATAACAAAAAAAAATTCCACCACCGTGTCAAAAGTTCACTAGCCAACGCATTCGGCTACAGCTTGCTTTCTAGATTTTTTTTCCACCTTTGAATATAGAACTAGCTCTTTTTAACTTCAATGCTAAGCTGAGCTTATACGGGATGTGTGGAGGAGTAGCTTCTTAAATAACTCATAGCAAGAAAGCAATGACCAAACATGTCAAATAATAACTGTTGTATTTTAAGTTGTAATCATGTCCAAGTATAAAATTGCAAATACAGCATTCACTACATGCGTCAATCAACCTCATAATTAGAATATATTTTCTTATAGCAGCTTCAAATGGTCGTCACATGTTTAAATGTGGTTACTTAGGTTACTGAAATATTTGTAATTTCTACAAATAAGTGAATTACAAGTGAAAATCCAGTGATGTCCGTATTAAATAAATAGTTAAAGAAATATCCTAATTTGCTCTGTTTAGAAGGCTAATAGTATCAATTCGTATGTGTGTATTTAGTCTATACCCTCACAAGCATGTTAGCTTAGTTTATAGCATGAAACCTGAAAACAGGGACACTAGCAGAGCTCAGTCCAAAGGTAAAAAAAAAAAAAAACACCTTCCAGCAACTTAAATGTTGACTCATTAACATTTCGTATCGCCTTTGTTTAATACGTAAAAAGAGAGACTCTTTCTTGGCAGCATATAAAGGGCACATGTTAAGCATGCAAAACTAAGTTAACCAGCCATTGGCAGAACTTGATATTTACTGGAGTTAAAATTGAGACCTAGGCCTATACTCTTTAACCCTAGCAAAAGAAAATGTTATTACCTCTTACATTAACCAGAACTGGTAAGTCTTTCAAAATGCCTTTTATGCATTTGTCTGACTTTTACCAAGTACAATCTGTTAATTTGTCTGTGTGTGTGTGTGTGAGTGTGTATATGTGTGTGTGTGTGTGTGTGTGTGTGTGTGTGTGTGTGTAATCTTTTACCCTTTATGGTAGATACAGAGGCAGGGCAGCCTGGCAATGGTGTCCCCCTGCTCCAACTCGTCCAGGCAGATGGCACATTCCCCAGAGTCTCTGGACAAGATGTCCTCTGATAGAGACAACATGGAAAGAAACAAACTGAGAAAAGAGCCGCCTCGTACACAACACCATGCATCAAGAATTCTGTTCGTTCAGTTACTGAACCCTGTATAACCAGCTGTTTAACCTGTGGTACGTGAATACCTGGTGTCACCTGCGTACAAGTGAGGACTGGTATTCTCTGTATGAAGCAAAGGAGGTGACTTTTCAGTCTATATTGGGAATATATTGTGTTATTTAAGATTTAGTTTCACTTTGTAGTTACTGTTCATTTAAAACTAGTTTGATGGTAAATTTGAATGAGTCATAGAAAATTGTGTCGCCGATCAGATGAACCTTAGATCAGTCAATGACGACTTGTTCTTTTGTGTGACAATTTAACCAGCATATTTACCTATGACAGGACCTAGTGTCAATACCTGGGGCTATGCAAACCCGAGTAGCAGCTTTGAAGCTATTCATAAGCATAACATTATGTAAAGATATATTAAAATTGCCCAGAGACGTGTTGATTTGATAAGTTTCCCTCATGCTCAGACACAGTTTACTTATGAGTTGCATAAGTTCCGTTTTATTTATTTTTTATCAGTAGCATGCATGCCACTGGCGGAGTGTGCCAACTCAAAAAGTGTGCATGTGCAGATCTCTGCTCAATAAAGATGAGGACTAACCTGCTCTTGTTTACCGACATGCAACACTGTAATGTTTCTAACTGCAGGAAGTGTGTGTGAAATCTATCTGACAACAGACAAAATGTGTTTCCCTTTCCAGTATATGCACATGTAGGTGCACGTGCACTATACCAGGTGCTCACACACAGCTGTCTACTCTCATGTTGGTGTCTGTGTTAATGTACTGCTGCAGACCTTATAGGACCTTTGTCTATTTGTCTAGTAAGTGCGGGGAGTATTTCTGTGGAAAATTCTGGAAATATTGTAACAATCTCATAAGAAGCACTTATAAATGTACAGACTGTTACATTGATTAAAAATCATCGATTTTCTGCTTATCTGCACTTCTGGTGAGATGCCAAACCTCATTTCGTTACTCTATACTTGTATATGTGTAATGACAATAAAGTTGAATCTCATCTCTCATCTCATCATCGAACAAACTGATTCAACTTTTATCAAGGAATGGGAGACAGGATGTAGATAAGTACACTTTTGTACTGCGTTTAAGAACAATTTTCATGTACCTCACTGCTTCCATTGAGTTCTATTTTACTCCTTGTATTACCAAAGATAACAATACCTTCTACTCTATTACAAAACTCAAGTGATCTTATAAGATATCTAACAAACTGCCATTGTTATAGGAAAAAAAGCTTGAGTGGATAAAATTAGGTATATTAAAATTAAAAAAACCCTGGACCCTTCAAAAATGATTTGAAGATTAATGTGATGATATACAAGATTTAAGGTCAAAATAATAAATAAAAACGTCTTCCTTTGTGTTTAAACTGAGAAATGCAGGACGCGTTCACATTTCAGAGCTCTTAGAATCTTATAAATGAATCGATCTATAATGGACAGTGACTGTGATGTGGGATGCAAGTAGACATGGATTTCTTTGGCAGGAAAAACGTGGGGAAACATTGTGAAATGTATTGATATAACTGACTACGAGACATTGTTTTGCATATTAAATACTTTTACATTCTTGTACTTATGATAGAGTATTTTATTTGCTTACTTATTACCATACTTATATAGCCCTTTTATGGTCTTTTGACCACTCCAGTGCTTTTACACTACATGTCACATTCCGGATGCTATGCATGACACTCAGTATTAAGTAATCCCATTCATACACATTCACATGGCGATGTTTCTGCCATCAGGAACAATCTGAGGTTCATTGACTTGCCCAAGGACACTTTGTGGACTGCAGCAGCCACTGTCTCTACCACTGAGCCTCAGCTTACAACTGGACTGCAACTTTTGTAAAAAAAACAAAACTCTTTCCTACACTTAACAGTGTCATCATTCTGTTTTACACAAACTTTTGTATGTTTACTTTGAAAAGAATGTAAGATGAACCGAGGAATAACAGCATAAAATGGACCACCCCCCCATCACCCCTCCGATTTCTTACTGTTGTAGGTGAGGTGCGTTTTGCTGAAACACATGAGCAGGTGCTTCTCGATTTCATCTGCTGCCATAAACTTGGAGCAAAGAGGACAGTGGAAACCTGTGTGGAAAACACAAAAACAAGAACACGCTATAACTTCTGTGTTTTTATTGATATGTAAACAGGGCTGAGGGCGTGGGCGTGACCTTACAACCCCATGGACGTTCTCGCTCTCTGTCTGCTGTAAACAATCTGTTACAATCTGCTTAGCTAATCACATAATCTTCAGGTGTCATTTCTCAGAAACAAATCTGACTCTAAACACGTTCTCAAGCCGAGATGTATTTATTGCATATTTTATTGCCCTCCATTAATCAATGAAGTAATTTATTAATTCATAATTTGACACAGATACACATGGTCTGAGCCTCTGCATCATCTTAGCTGCACATGTGTGCAGCGAGAACTGAGATACGCTGACTTCCTGTTAAATATCATAACACCTCACTTGAGGAAAGAACTACAAATGCATCAAATATTCAGTATTATGCAGCAATAATCTCTGTTTCTGGGGTCACACTAATTCTTCATGTAAAAGGGTTACAAACATTGTCAGACCTGTAGAGTCATATAGACGTGCAAAGGTTATTGATGACTGTAATACTGACTGTACTTCCTCATCAGGGAAATGACCAATGCCAGTACACCAACAGCATTTAGGATTTAGAGAACACTATAGAATTAGGTTTAAGAACTTACTCTACAATTGACAAGGATATTTGAGCGTTGAGAAAGCACTTTTACATGACTTTCAGTGCCTAATGTTGTGGTCTTGTCTTGAGACAACACACCAGTCTGTGTGTGTGTGTGTGTGTGTGTGTGTGTGTGTGTGTGTGTGTGTGTGTGTGTCAGGCAATGTGTAACCAGCAGGAAGCTCTTATCTGCTGACCTACATTATGCACTCTTCCCTCTCAGTGAAAAACAAGCCATTTTTCGAAGACAGGAGGAAGGCATAATAAGGCAGACAGCAGAACAGTTGAGTACAGAAGAGACACCTGTGGCTACAATAAAACTACCGAAGTGCTGAACAAAGAGTTCAGTCATCACACTGCTATTACCATTTGGTATCACATGTCAAATGGAAAAATACAAACTAACTAACTTTGACAGGAACGGTGACGCATGCTATACAGAGTGTAGTGTCAAAAGCCTATGGTCCTATGGTACGTGAAATAACATGTTGACTATAAATCAAACACAGTGTTGTCAACCATTAAAAGTGATGCAAAATATATTGACTTCCATATGCACCACTAGGCCTCTACTTTGAGTAACAGGGACAGAGTGTACTTCAGTGACAATTAGGAAATCGGCAAACCCAAAACAATCATAAATGTCCTGAGTATAAACATATTAATATGAGCATTGCATGCTTCTTTCCAGATGTTTTACGTGGTATGTTATACATCTTTGTTGATTAGTAAGATTACTATCTTACCTCCGAGCAGGTGAGGGGACAGGTGAGCAGGCAGGGAGCCTATAAGCAACCTGTGGCCTTCAGGAGGCAGCTGGCCCTCGTCGTCACCATCCGTGCCATCGAGGCTCTGATTGAGTACGTGTGATCCTGACCTGCCGCCAGCCGGTATACTGAGCCCGGAGCTGGTCGGCCCACCTCCTGTATACCGGATCCGCGGGCCATCTGGTCCATTGGTGTACCTAAAACCCGCAATCCTTTCCCCTCCGCTGGAGTTCCCAGATGGGAGATCGGAGCTGGAATAAGCCCGAGTTCTTCCATCAAATCCTGTGCTGCTCTGTTTGGCCCCCATGCTGTATCAGGCGTACAGCCTTGGGTTTTTTCGTGCACTTTAAAGTTCTTAGCCAAGACACATGGTTACAACGAGTTTTTAGGAAGTGCCAGCAACAAAGGAAATGCAGCGTTACACGCGAACAATCATAAAGTGACCGTGATCCAACAATTCAAAGTTTCATGGAGCGCTCTGTGCGTAAAGTGCGCACTCACTGACGCATAACTTGATTACACAAATTTCCAAGTGGTGTTTTTTTCTTTGCAGAACCCTTCCCCTTTAAAAAAAAAATGATAACAATGGTTAAAATAAAGAAGATAAAATCTCTTCAGCTATGAGTCTTCAGTTCAACATCTTCAGACGAAAACAACGGCGTGAACATTGACCCACAGCCCATCTGGTTCAAGTTTGTTTTTGTGCTCAACTGTGGCCGTCTGGAAAGAAAAATAAAAGCAGAGATTGCCCTCCTCCCTCTGTGAGTCAGTTCGAAAAAACTACCCGTCTTTGACCAGGAAACGATAAATACGCTTTCAAAGTAAAACCGGTAAGCGCGGCACATACGGAAAAAGTTAGGACAGAAATGAGGAAGTTCCTACTCTTTAGATTTTAAATCTGTCTTTAGGGTACCCATAAACTATGTTGCAAAACAAGTTCAATAAAAGTCTGTTTGCCATTGCACCTGTTTCCTTCCCATTCTTCATTTAGGATCATTTTAAATCCAGTAGGTGAATTATTGTAGGCAACTACAACTTTTATTGTAGACTACTTAAGGACTACCGTACTTAAATATTGCTATTGCATGCTAATTAATCAATCAATCAATTAATCAAGCAATCTGTATTTGTATAGCGCCAATTCCTAACTAATGTTATCTCGAGATACTTTTAAAAAGCAGGTAAAATAACTTACTCTTTGTTATTTATTAGTACAAAAGAGCAGGTAAAACACCTTACTCATTGTTATTTATAGTCTATGCTATATGCCTACTTGTTCACGGTCACCTGTAACAGATTTCTATAAAACCTCCTGTGATGGTACATAACCTGCATTTACAAAGACTTAAAGGACCCGGGGATAATTTGCTATATATGCATGCATGTTTAATGTCATTTCTGCAAACTCAGTTGCTTGTGGTCAATAAGAAAGTGATTACTGAACCGTATTCAATTTTTTTTTGTGTGCTTTTACTTTGAAGGCCACAGCATGATTTCCTGTCTGTGGTTCCCTTCTTACCTTCAGCTTGACGCAGAACTGAGTGGGCGCGTCAGGTGGCGCGTGACGTCAACCCCAGTAACACCAGCGGGCTGTTGGCACAGCAGCAGGTCACCAGTCCACTCTGTGATATGAAAAGCTCTCCATGTTTTGCGCCCTGTGTTCCATTAACTTCAGGCCTTTACGCACAAGAAGACACACGCCTGCACGACACTCTGTTCACACGTTTATTGAACAATTTCACACAGAGGACAAACAGAAGATACACTGCATTATAAACATTCAAATAGGCAATAAAGAAAAACATTTACAAGCCAAAATAAACGGGCTAAGGAGGAACCTCTGAAACAGTCTTGAATGTGTATCGAGTGGGGGACAGCAGCGGGGACTAAAGCATAGCAGTGCACTGGATGTGACACAAAACAACACACTGTGAGATAAGAGATTACAGGGTAGGCAGAGGGTGCCTGTCAAATATTTTCTCTTTCCTGTGATATCACACAGGGGTTTGGGTGTGCACTCTTTAAATTTATGATCAAGAGAAACCTTGAAAGAAGCTATGAAATCATAACAATACACGCAAAAGAGGTTTCGGCTAGCTTTAGGAAGCTTTCTTATCAGATTGTGCCAAGAAAGGAGGGCAAACTGTGAACCACCAACAGCCAGGAAGGAAGACTACAAGATAGAAGAACTATGGGTGTCATGTGACAATGAGACACCCAAAACAGGGCTTAAACTGTAGCACGGGCCTTTGTTGTGATAGTCATATGATAGAAACATTGATTTAAATGTGACTCTAGGGTCTTTGAGGGGCTGTGCTGAGAAAACTTTAAGAGACGCACCTCCAAAATGATCCATGCTACTTCAAGCTGCACACTTTGATTTAAAAGTCTAGGGCCAATGTGAAAACTTATTTTGAAACCTATACAACATTTCTTTTTTTTTTACATGTTAATCATCTGAGAACCTCTTTTTTTTTCTCCCTCCCCTCCTTCTCTCCCTACGTGAGGTGGAAAATGATAACCCTTTCCCTCCCCTCTCCATTCACCTGTGTCACTCCCACCGACGTCTCACACAGCCACAAACTGTCACTTTTCACTACAACTCTCATTTAGCTCTCATGTATCCTCCCTGTCAACAGGCAGGCAGAGAAGTAGGTTGATTCTCACATTCATCTCTGAAGCCACGGGGAAATGTGTGTATTGTGGCGACATCTGACTGTATTTCTGCATAACAAAGCCAGCTGAGGCCCATGTATTGCTGTGCGGTGGAACTTTAACTAACCAGGGGGTGAATCATTATGACACTCGTATCATACATGGCTGCTCCTCATGTAGCCTTTTTGTGTGTATGAGAATGTGTGTGTGTTTGGTTTGTTGGGGGATTAAAACAGTGCAACAGAGTGCACTCTTTGGGAAGCAAAGCCACTTAGACATTCAAAAACATGGTGGTGCATTTTTAGCGAGTTGACTGCAAGTATGTTCTGTGTGTGTTTATGTGTGTGTGTGTTTTCATTAGAGTGTTGTTAAGTATTTGGACGCCCGAGTCGAGGCTCATAGCAGCTCTGCCCCAGCTGCAGGCCTCATCACTGCTGGCTGACCCCCATCTGCTGGTGGTCGGGCCCTGGTTCTCCCTCCATGTCAGCGTGGTAATGCTCGAAACTGTCGTCCTCTATATCTGGAAGGCCCAGCAGCTGGTAGGGGATGAAGGTTGTAAAGTTAATATGTCTGTATTTGCAAACCCACATTTGTTTTCTGTCTTATATGAAGGCAGCTTAATGAGGCCTTGTTTAAAGTATATGTGCAAACAAACATTCAGCACCAGGCAGAGCATGTTTAAAGGTGTTCTAGAGATAAATAGTTCGATATGTTTAGTTTAACTTACTGTGCATCCAGTTAATTTATTCAGGGAAAGTAATTAAGAACAATTTTGTTGTACTTATACTTCACTCGAGCAAATCAACTCAGAGCTTCTTTATACATTTGCTCCACCTCAGTTGGAGAGCACATTATATTTTTCCTCTACATTAAAGTAATGCAGTTAATGCATGCATATCAATAGTGTGTACACTAATCTAAAAGGTCACATATTAATCTCCTTTTCAAGTTTAAATAAGACCTGATACACCCTGATCCTGTACTTGATCATGCCTATAAACCCCTTTATTTCAGCCCTGCTCAGAACAGGCTGTTTCTGTGCCTGTAGCTTTAAATGCAAGTGAGCTGTGTCTGACCACGCCCCCTCTCTTGGAGGGTTTGGGTGGCCTTCTTGCACCATGCTCAATTTTTTACGGTGAGAAGGCAGACTCAGAGGGCAGAACAAACACCCAGCTGTGGGAGTGTCACCCACTTGGGGGAGGGGTTACCGCCCTTTGTGATGTCATGAAGGGAAAATCCACCTGTTTGAGCGCACATTTTCTGAAAAGTGAAGCTTGCAGAAGACAGAGAGGATGGACTTTTCTCATAAGTGGAGGGGTTTGTAGACAGACTAGGGACACATATTAGCGTTAGAAAACCATGGTGAAGTATATTTTGCATAATATGTGACCTTGAAACCATTTGCATGAAGGGTACTTTTACTTTCTGTACTTTGCATATAATTTGGTGTTAGAACTTCCTATCTGCGATACTTACTAGTAACATATTTGAACACAGGTCTTGTATTTGTATCATAGACCTGCTGTTTCTACACTGCAGTATTGCTTTACCGATCATACACTTAGAAACAACAATCCCTCATAATGCATTTTTTAAAATATTATTTTTACTCCTAAACAAAGACCTTAAATGTAGTCTGCTGTAGTCATTCTATAGACAGCACAGACAATGTTAAAGCTATAGTACACAGAGGAGGCTTTTATTTCTTAATAAAAGACTGGAAATGTAGAAAACAGCCAGCTTGGCTCTGGTCAATATGAACCTGGCGGTTTTATGAGGGGCAATGTGCTGGAGTTTTTTTTTATGGCAGATTGAGGTTACTTCCTTGTTGGCCAGAGCCAAAGGAAGCATCTGCTATAAGGATATAATAATTCTATTAGAGAGCTTCTGATAGGCAAATGCATATCCTATGGCTTATTGTGTCCCCTAGTGTTTAGTTTTTATGCTTAGCCAAGCATGCCTGTAAAAGGACTATATTTGATCATATGAGGTTTAAATCAGTGTTTCAGTTGTTGAATCCACCCTATCCTGACACTGATGTCTGTTAAAAACACATAACACGATGTGCTTATTACAATCTGACTTCTTTATTGAGAACAATACCTCAATAATATCGTTATTAATGGCTAATTAAAATGTTTTTTTGCAATAAAAAATATGGAAGCTTCATAACGATACCCTACACCTTTACACCTATTTTGATTCTAAAAATGTCAATTCCACTAAGTGATTAATATTCAACAAAGAGCTTAAGGAAGGAAGACTCCAAAAGACTAAGTTAGCTCTTCAAATTGAAGGTGCATGGAAATAAAACGACGACTACATGTCAAATAGACTAGAATCTTGTGAGAATCCTTTTGCATATTCTCCATTACTTTATGTATTGCCAAAATGAAGGCAACATTAAATGGTGATAACTCTGGTTGAGGTCGGCATGTTTGGTCCGTACCAAAGAGAAGAACACGCATCAGGGTTGTAATAGACCAAAACAGACACAACAAGCAGACGTTGCTGCGCCTTGGTTCATGCAGTGTGTCAAAGAAAAGTGTAACTACAGGGAGCGTCGTGCTTTCGTTTCCTTACAGGCCTGAAGGACGTGAAGACCTTCTCCAGCACCTCCAGCAGAGTCTTCTTCCCGCAGGAGGAAATGTAGTCCTGGGCTAGCTGCAGGAAGGGAAGGCAGTCCTCGCTTTCACTCCACACGTGCTATGGACACAATCAGAGATTCACACACACAAAAACATGAGCAAATGTAAAAGGAGGTGTCATTCCAAAGACACTTCAACCAAAATCCTGAAATAAAGCTTGGTCAGGGGCCATGGTGCATTGGAAAACTAGAACAAAGCAATTAAACCAGATTAAGAGATATTTCACCAAAGACATGCAGTAAACAAAGGACACACAAACATCCTGAACATTTGTCAAAAGATGTTTAAGGAGAAGAAAAACCTCACTATTAACGAAATGATTGAAAATTAAGTCCTGAGCAAGAATTATACAGTGTCATATCAGAGGTTCCTATCAATCTACATGTGTATTGAAGAGGTGCATCATACTGACTGGTTACTGGATATGAATCAATACTTCATTGTTACCTTACCAATAATTAAATTGTTTGACACTTTCATTAATGATTGTACTACTTATGTCAGAAATGTCGGCACACCTAAGGCCATTAAACAGTGTTCATTATGTTGTAATACTTTGACATAAAAGTCTACTTCCTCATTAGTGCAGGTTGACAGGCGTCTTGCACAGGAGGAGTTTTAGATCAACTTTACAACCATTTCCCCTTCACTTACTGTAAGCATTGTTTGATTGGACTCAAAGGCTATAGATTAGATTGTATGTTGGGAAGTGATTTGGGGCTTCTGACCTAAAGTGCAACTTGACCTGAAGCATAAAAGAGGATGAATTGTTTTCAGTTAACAGTAAAAAACAAGTTTTTTTTTTTTTAAACCTAGTTGTGACATTTAAAAGAAATTAAATTCCTTATATTCACGGTTAAAGGAACTATTAGGGGTTAAAACCCAGATAAAACCGGAGTTACTGAGCTTGGCATCAATCACACTATAGAGACTTGTTATCTAATATAAAGCCACCCTAGATTGCACCCTCCTGGCATCCAGCACCACTGTAAGGAATCTGGATGATATATTAGATCTGGATGTGTTCTTCAGCTCCCACATACAACACATTTCACGGACAGCCTTTTTTCTCCCACGTAACCTTGCAAAAATCATGAACATCCAGTCTCAAAATGTTTCAGAAAAGCTATTCCATGTATGTGTTGCTTCTTGGTTGTGTTATTGCAATTCCCTGTTATCAGGCTGCTCTGATAAGTCCCTAAAGACGCTTTGGCTGGTCTAAAACAGCACATGTACTAACAAGAACTAGAAGAAGAGATCACATGTCTCCCATATTAGCTCATCTGCACTGGTTCCTTTAAAAAACTAGAATAAAGTTTACATTCCTTTATTAGGGGCTGAAAAGCAGGACGCTTTTGAAAGGTCAGTAGTTCAATTCTGAGCTTCTCCAACATGTCAACATGTTGAAGTATGTTTGTGAAACATTCTGAACCCCAAATAGACTACCATGGGGACAGGGTACACAGAGCTTCTTCTCTGTCCCCTCTCTCTCTCTCTCCATTTGTATTCATATATGTTATATTAATGCATGTTTCTAAGTATTTCTCTTTCCAGGAGTTTTAGCGCTCTCTCGTCTTGCAGATTCCTGTCAGTAGTTGTTGCAGATAGCCTGCTGCCCTGGACCGGCTTGTCCAACTTATTCTATTAGCCTGTTTTTCTACTTTAAAGTTAGGCAATTCTTAATTATCTCGACATTTTTTTGTTGTTTGCACAATGTTGCATCTCTGGAAAAATCTAAACCTGGCCTATATGCCTAGTGTCATGAAATAACTTCAGTGAGATATGTGGTTAAGTAAATAAAAACGGATTAATTGATGGATAATTGAAATTCAAAGCATGAAGAACACCCCTTAAAACATGATAAAAGAGGCTTGTTTAATCAGTTAAGGTAGAAAATCCAGTGGCTCCCACTGATCCCAGGTATAATTTGGATAAATGAATGGTTTGTAATGAGGTAATCAAACAAGAATTAAAAGTACCTGAATTAAATTATGAATTAAATATATTTTAAAAGTAAGAAATATTTAGGGATATGGTTTTAAAATCTGTGGTGTGTATTCTGTGTTTCATGAGTCATTAAAAGTCATGTGAATCAGCCACAGAGAAACATTTATTCTAAGTTGTGTAGACAGGCCTGATATTGAGCCCTCATGCTGGGACTGCTGAGGGATGCTTGTTCCAGTCTGACACTGATGGATGGACTCACATGAGGGTGTGCCAATGCTACACCACCAAAAACTCATCTTTCAGCAGATCTCACAGAGCAAATCATGTGGCTCTTGTTTTTGAGCTGCTAAACACTGTGTCACATGACCCAGATGACTAAAAACTACTGGCACTTAGTCTGAATGTGAAAATGACAGAGGTGGAAACACTGATGTGTAGCTGGCTGCGCTGCTATTCTGTTAGAACTCAGCTCACAGCACCCTCTAGTGACAAAACAGGGCAGTGATTCACAGAGTTGAGGACAAAAGATACAGTAAACAGGGAGAATGCCTTGTGTGTATGAGAGAGGGAAACAAGGAATGAGAGAGACAGTATGTCAGATGTCCTGTTGATACTTGTATTGAAAGTAACTCGATCTTTAGACTCCTGCAGAGTCAGGGAGTTATTGTAGCTGATTTTAGAGCACACACCAGAAGAGTGCGTTTGTGGTCATGTAAAAGTGTGTGAGTGTGTGTACATGAGTGCAACATTTGGCATGCATAAGATCCAGCAGCAGGAGAATGTGGAGGGTTGAAAGTGAGATAACTAAGAACTACACCATGATGTAATAATACTACATCTTGTGTGTAGCTGTGTTATGCAACACTCTGCTATGTTTTCCTTCTCTGTCATTATGTTCTTTACGGGACACTTTGACTATGCAGGGGTGCTGGATTCACAAGTTTATATTCCATCTACAGTCATGGAAAGCCCCTAAGAAGCCTTTCTGTGCAATCTGTGGGATGGACCAGGCGATTCCTGAAAACACATAACACATGCACGCTTGGTGTGACATAATGTGTTATTGACTCTACAGATGCTCTGGCTCCTGGGCCAGCTCCATCTTCACCCCGCCCTTAGCCTCTGTCACTGAGCCGGAGGAGGGATTTCTGGCCTCATGAGACCCCCCCCCCCCCAGCCGTCCCATCACATTGTTAGGATATAGATAGTAAACAGGGTCAAAGAAATCTGAATGCTGCAGCAATGAAAACACTGAGTGTGCTCCCTTCTGTAGTTTGGGGTTTCAAAACTATTCTAAATTTCCGGAGTTTCTGTTTAACAGATGCAGAACAATCACATTGGATTTAAGACTCTGATGTTGCTAAAAGGTTACAGGACCAAATAACATATTGTGCTGTCTTTATTTGTGTCCAGGGTTTCATTATAACATCTAGGGTTCAGTCCTGGATCAGAGCAGTAAAACTTTCACTAGTAACAAAAAATACTTGAAAAATGCAACCCGAGTTATTGAGACTACTTATTTCATGTTTGCAGAAACTAAGCCTCTTGCTCCAAATAAATATGTAGGCCTATGTTAACTGTGGACAGAATTATCCAGTTTGATTTACAGAATGATCTGGATTTGAGATTTAGCGATCATTAGAACTGATTGAGAAATAATTAAATGACACTGAACAGAAATCCGATCATTTTCTATATCCATCCAGCTATGAGCCTTAATTCATTGCGTAGGTTTCAAATGCAACGTGATTAACCGTAGAGCTTTTATTTTGAAAGTAACTGGCCTCTTTTTTTTATTGTAACCTGGTTCTCGTGGTGTTGCGGGTGGTGCTGAGTTCAGAGGGTTATCGCAGTTGATTATAATGGGGGGGAAAAAAAACCAGCATCGGCAGAGAGTGGGAGGGTGCTGCGTGTGGATTCAAATTAAAATGACATCATCCTCCATTTTTTGCCCGAAGCCTCCCAACCCTCCTCCCAATGTCCATTAGCTGGAAAACCGTGACCAAGCGGGACAACCCCACCTCCTGCGCAGCCCCGACGCACCTACGATAACGCACACCACACACACGCGCGCGCACACACACACACACACACGAACCTACACACACACACACACACACACGAACCTACACTCACAGCTTGAGGCCCTGCAGAGGCTCACTTACGAAAGTGTCGGTGCCGCCGGGACACAGTACGTAGAAGGAGACGCCGGGCTCTGCGTAAAAGTCCAGCCGCCTCTCGTCGTCCTCCTCGGCGAAGATGAGGTCGAACGGGTTACCGGAACACCACTTCTCCGCCGCCTCCACCAGATGCTTGAACTCCATCCTGTGTGATCCGGTCTGCGGTGTCCCTGGCTCTGGAGCTTGATCTGGATCTTTCTGGCCGTCACGGCGATGATGCTTAAGACGCAAAAAACAGCTGATCGGACAGCAGCATCAGCAGCCTCCACTACCGCATCTCCTCTAAAGCACTGTGTGCATGGCCCGGGAACACAGATAACACTGCTGGTGCATAGAGTGTACCGGTTCTGGTGCTCATCCGTGCTCAAAGCCCCATTCCTCTCTTCCTCCTCACGTTATGAAATCAAGCCGTCGGTCGCATATGCATACGCAGGAGGACGCTGGAAAAAACGCGATGACGAACAGTGAAACCGGGCAGCCGTCCATAGTGTATGTGAGAGGCTGTATGGGCCCACACCCAAAGATACTATTACTTAAAGATTCTGATATCACGATCCAATCCCTGTGGAAATAATTAATTTGATGTGAATAATACAACATAGTGAAGTTGATGCAACAAATGCCAATCACTGCAATATGGTATTCGCCTATATTTGGCTGAGAAAAACAACAACAAAGTAACCATGAACTAGGAAATGACCTCTACATGCCGACTATTATTAGAAATGATATTCATTTACAAATAAGTCATGGATGTTTGCCCAAAAAAACACATAAACAAATAAATACATATTAAATTGGAAAAAACACACGTAGGCCTATTATATATATTTGTTTTACAAACATTGCAAATTTACCAGATATAACAAAAATAATAACAACAACAATAATAATAATTATAATAATAGTGATATTACTAATAATAATTCAGAATTCTAAAAAATCCCCTCTCCTGCTGACGCCTTGTGGGGAACCATGGAGACTACATACTTTGTTGTTTACATTTAGCATGCTGTCTGACATTATTGTGCGTTCAGTCTGACCTGTCCCTCATTGCTCCCTGGAGTCCTCACCACAAGAGGGCGAGTGAAACCAGCTTACAACCACGGGCTACAACTGCGTCAGGTTGACGACACGTAGCCGCAGAAAGACCGGAAAAAGAAAACAAATAAAGTATAGGCTATTTAAAAAGAAAAAAAAAAAAAAAAAAAAAGAACAGAGAAGCTACATACCATTCTCTAAATGAATATCTCTTTGAAAATAAAAACATATCGTACAGTCACTGTAATTGTTATTGCAGGCTATTACTTAAACAAATGATAAGGTAGGCATTTTAATATTATTCGGAAAAAAAAATTGGTAGGCCTTTTGGAATTGCATTTTGGGTAGGACGCGTGGTCCTAAATTGTTACACCGTTTATGAAGTGTATGCTTTTTTGAAGTGTGTGTGTGATCAGTGCAATCCTGCAAAAAGAGCCTGGTCCAAAGAAATATTTCTTAATTGATAAAATAAGGGTTACAAATTGAAAATCAGTTAAAATAATGTAAGCCTATCTTCGATTTAAATGAACCTCTTTAAGTAAGTAAACAAACTATAAAGTGATAGTCTTCCAACAACAGTGCCTATTTACATTGTCGCAACTCTAAAAGACTTTTACTCTGAAAGTCTTACCAGGAAATAGTCACGTGGATAATTTGCGTTGCTTTAACACTTTCTTTTTCCACAGTTCGTCCTCGATCCCCCAGGTTATGGTCCTCCACAGTGTGTGGTGAATGTCTGAGCGTGAAGACGGGGCCCCTCCAGACCGCTGGCCTTACTGCTTCTTTAAAACGCCCCGAGACCTTGAAGAGCCTGAAGCATGCGCCGTGCTCCGCGTAAAGGTTAGTGAGGCGGACCACTGCCAGACACCCCTGCTGTCCAGCTCTCCGGGGTCGCGCTTTATTTGCTGTAGAGACCCTCAATTTCTTTCGCAAAAAAATATTCCAGACAAATGGATCCTTTACAAAATGGGAATAACTGCGAGGAGGACTCGCAGTGCGCTGAAGAGGAAGAGGAGGTGGATCCAAGAATCCAGGTAAGGATTTTGTTAACAGATCCAGATGTTGACACAAGTGAAAGTGACATTGACATCAAAATGTGAAAGCCAAGGACAAGGCTGACTGTAAAGTTGTTTGAAAAATACTTTATACAGCTAGTAAAAGCCTGAACATGTGAAATATTAAGCTACTGCTTTATTTGTTACTACTACATTATGCTTTTGCAGTTCCAATAATGAGTGTAACTAAATGCATCAACGTCTCAGACATGCAAATTGGCAGGAATAGATTCAAGAGTTATCAATCCCTTTAATTGCTCTACACAGAGCGAGAGATGCACAGACACACACAGGGACGCATGCTCAGTAATTTGGTTATCTGAAGTCACAGAGTTCAACCTCAAGAGACAAAATCTGTTTAATAACGCCCTCCCTTTTCTCTCTGCTTGTGCTTCCCCAATGCATGCCATGTTTTGTGTAAACAGGGAGAACTGGAGAAGTTAAACCAGTCTACAGATGACATTAACCGCTGGGAGAGTGAGCTGGAGGTAAGACAAAAAACACCAACTACAACTGTTATCGTCATTAGTGCCTCTCCCTGCTGGGGTAAACACATCCAGCCTTAGCTGAGCTGGAAAGCACAAATCTTAAAGAGACATTATGTCTTCATCTCTGGTTATGCGCTAAAAAAAAAGTTGTAACCAATTAATCGTATTTACTACACGCACAGTTTTGTGGGTTTCAGGAATTCGCCTAGCAACGAGGCCCTTGCATAGTTACTGTTTACATGGAATGTCTTGAAAATGTCCCTGATGTGGGAGCTGCTTCTAAAGGGAATTTGGGAAAAAGTGAGCAAGCAACTGTCACTCCCATTTGTCAGGTCCGTACTGTATGTGTGTAAACTTGTTGCTACAAGAGGCATATGTGTGATTTTACAAGTTGAATATGAAATCTGAATGGCTTATTTGGAGCAATTTTAATCACAAGGGCTCTCTTTGTTTACCCTACCTTCCTTTAAGAACACACCCAACAATTTCAAAAAGGAAAACGGCTATAAAGTACAGGGAGGATCAGCAGAAACATGTAGGGTAGTTTTTTTTATTTTTTTACCATTGGAGTTACTGTTCAGCAAAAGTAAAAACATTCCAGAGGAGGCCCCCATTTTTCCTTCACCTCAAAGTAGGCCTCTTCAGTTTCTCTTAAGAACTTTACTCATGTCCAACACCACAAACCAAGGCTGGAATATTTATAACAACATAGAGGAAGAGGGAAAAGAGAGGATTGATGCACTCATGTCTTAATGTTGGAAGGATCAATTGTGTTTATGGGCTTAATTCTCAAATCTTGTAGATCCTGGTTATTTCTAATCTCTATTGTTAGGACATCAACTGTATTTTCTGTGTGTTTGGAAAAGTGTGTTTCACAGTGCTTTGGCAGTTTTTTCGAGCAACCGTTTTATCAAGTACTGTTCACTGATTAAATATACACAGAAATAATCAAGCAGAAGAAGAAGAAGAAGAAGAAGAAGAAGAAGAAGGTGATGCATATTGAGGCAGTAAGTAGTGAGCTGAAGAATGTGGAAAGTGCCCCTAGCCGACCACAGGCTGTTTTTTTCTTCTTCTGCAGAGCCTGGAGTTAATTAAGGACGATGTGGGGACGATTCAGAGGATTCTGGAAAAGCAGAGGCAATGAGGTTTAATCCTTGTGCAGAAATGAGGTCTGTAGTCTGTCAACGAAAAAGGCAACATAAACCTTTCATGTGCCCTTGAAATGTTAGACACAACGAGACCAACAGTGTGCCTATTGAAAGGCTGCATCGGCTGCACATAGAAAACATGTAGGTCCCAGCCTGCATGCTGTGTCACTATCTCTGTACAGGAACAGGAAGTCAAGAAACATAATGATGTCATAGGAAGTGTGCTTCCCGTAGCACCCTCTCCATTTTCCTTCTTTTACTGTTTGTTGTATTCCTGTCAGTTTTAGGAAGAGGATGCAGGTGCTGCTGCCTTTCAAACTCTCCTCTGCAAACAAGAGACACAGCTGAAGAGACACACTTATTCACACACTCACACACAGAACACACAATGCACTCGATTCAGACAAATGGCCTGCCCCAGTAACCTCAATATACAGATAATACTTCCCTTTTAAATAACAAGTCTTATGTCACACTCTGTCTTATGCAACAAAAAAAAAGATGTGTCATATGGTTGTTCACAGTTTTAAAGAGATTTCCCCACCAAGGAGAAACATCTCAACACTCTTGGGAGCAATAGGAAGATGATGAGAGACTAAAAGTAGATACAGCTGCTGCAAATGCATTTTCTTGCATTCAAGGAATTTGTTGAGTGTTGACTTGAATTAGAATAGCTTCATTTAAGGCACAAGGCCAAATTAGACCCAGCCAGCAGGACAGCACGAGCCACAAGGCAAGCTAACATGTGACTAATGATTAGAGTGAACGACTCTTTTCAAACCTTTTTTTAAATTGTTTTATCTTTTGTCGTGTGTTGAGTTTTAATTTTTTTTTTTTTTTTCTGGTTGATGTTTTCAATTCTGTGAGGCAGTAGTCATGGGTAACAGTGCTTTGAGCTATATACCAACATCAAGATGCATGCAGTTAACATGCTCAAATGACAACATGCTAAACTTTTACAGACACATTTTTCATACTTTGTAGTAAAGTAGCAGCTTTTGATACAAACATGTGCACATTAGCTCTAAATGCAAAGTAATGCCTAGGCTATTGATTATGTTAGTCATTAGTTTGACATGTTGATCCTCTTGGGACCATAAAAGTTTTTTCAGAATTTCAGTCTGGCTCAAGTCTGACGCACAGATCAACATACCATGCTGCCAGCATGGCTCCAGTTTTCACTTTCACGCTTCAACTTTACAATGCAGTCTGGCATTTATTCTCAAGTGGAAAAGTCTCTAACTGTTATGTGTAACGTGTGTGCAGGACTGCCGCCAACGGTTTCGCGCAGTGCTGGTGGAAGCAACAGTGAAGCTGGACGAGCAGGTGAAGAGAATTGGACGAGCTGTTGATGACTCCAAGCCGTACTGGGAAGCCCGCAAAGTAGCAAGACAGGTACAAACATACGTACACACACACACACACACATTCACAGGAATAAGCGTTAGCGACTCTGAGGTCTGCAGAGTGCTTGTGAGGGCGTGCTCCCCGAGGCTTAGCTGTGAGAAGTTTAAAGAGCTCAGCTTATATCTGCTTAAAGGGAGACGAGTCACACAATGTTTATTTTTGAAGTCAGCCTAACCTCAGTATGCTAAGCTGGCACCTCAAAGAACTGACTCAGCGTGGTTGAGTTAACATTGGGGGAAAGTTGCACTGATCTTCGCAATACTTTTTTTTTGCATAATCCGACATGCTTTCTTTCATGCATCCTGCATGACTTAGTGTTTTCATGCTTACTGCAGTGCTGCAGGAGATTCAAAGACGGGGGGAGTTCCACACTAAACTTTCCTGTTACCTCTGCAAGCAGGTCATGTCCTTTACCATCTATTTCCTCCAGCATGTTGAGGCTTCGACCTGATTGGATAGCAGCAGAATTTTAGTCCAGCACCCCCTTCTTCTCAGCCAATAAACGAAGAAGCTTATGAGTCATTCATCATAAGGCTGACATTTGGTGTGTCAGAGCTGAGCTGTTGGGCTGAAATAGATTGTGTATTTGCGTGTGTCTTTGTGTGTGTCCCTGCTTATCTCAATATGACAAACTACCGTACCTGCCAGAGGCCTCTGCTTCTGACAGTCACACGTGAGAGTCAGGGATTACTGGGAGGTTTGAATTTTGATGGGACCTGCTTGCACGTGAAAGGATCAGGAACTCTTCTTGTTTTTGTGAAGGCGTTCAAGTGAGTGTATGTTGGCGTCTCTGTGTATGATTATCCGGGGGTCTTTCTACAGAAAGAAAAAAAAAAGAAGCCTTGGGTTAAACTGGCTTATTGTCTGGTAATGATTTATGGATGAGTATTTAATATTTAATACATGACCTACTTTAAAGGGATTCAAGTGCTTACCCTGGCTGACCCTACCAGAATTAACACACACACACACAAACACACACACACACACACACAGACACACAAACATACACAGAGTATATCACCTACCCCCACCCGTAAAACCCGTCCCAGCCCCCCTATGTTTTCTCCCTACATTCCAACAGTCTGGGTGGGGGTGTATAGGAATTTGCCTCTACTGTCCTATCTTTTGTCCCTTTAACCCAACATTCTCTTCTGCATGGCTGCCTACCTGCCTGCCTGTTTGTCTGGCTGTCTGTCTATCTGTCTCCTTGTGCCCATCTCTCACTCCCACCTCGTCTGTTCAGTTACCCCTATCTACCTTGTCACCCCTCCATCGCTCACTCCCAACAACGGGATGAATATCCAGGGACAAAAGAGTCAGGCGGTATGACCCTGTCTGACACACAGCGCAGCGTGTCAGTCAGAAGATATGAGCACACATCATGCTGATATGAGGTGGCAGCATGTCATTGTATTTCAGAACAGAATCATTTTAAAGTTTAGTCAGATCTCGTGGGCTTCATGACATCATAAGAATTAACTGACAACAATGCTTTCGACATGCAGGCTGTCCTGTGAGCAGCAGGCTTTTGTGACATGATACACACACCCCACCTTAAGAACATATGAATCACCAAGACGCTTAAGATTTATCATTTGTGCATTCGTTTTTTTCTTTGCAAAAGCCTTTAATAGTCCCCGTGTTTGGTCATCTTCACACTATCAACACTATGAATAAACACTAACTCTGCATGAGGAAGGAAGTGTGCTGCCGCTCTTTGCAGGAAGTCCTATGAAGGACCGTTTTTGCTGCTACATTTTTGTCTCTAACTTGGCAAGAACCGCTGATTGATAGCATTAAAGTCTCAGTTCTTCGTCGGTTCCTTACTCATGGTTTGTCCTCATCAAATATCCATCACCCTCCTTCTGTTATTCCCTGCAACCCCTCTCTCCTCCAAGCCTGGGAAATGGGTCATGACGGGCGATGAAGTCAAACAAACAGATTAATCACAAAACTCTTATCTTCCCGCTTCCTTTCTGTGTCTCTACGCCTTCTCAGAGGCCTCCTTACCAACCCGCATATCACATCCAACCACTGGAACACTTGGATATCACAACAAGACGAAAGAAACAAGCTTCTGGGGGGGTTTCTGCAATTAGTGAGAGAAGATGCAGACCCGGGCTTGCTCACGTCACAGTTCGACCCTTTATCACAAACATGGCAGACAGTGGTAGGGGTCATGCTGCAGGGGTTAATGTGACAGAATACCCAGAAAGGTCATGAGAAAATGTGTGTAACAGCTGAGAGAACTACACTGACCTTTTGGGAGTAAAGCTGTTAATATTGTCGCTGTTGGTGATCAAAGAGTTTTCACCTAACTATGTTTTCACTCTGCTCTGTGAGCGTCCCAACATATGAAGCTGGGATGCATATATAGCAAGATGGATGATTTTGCTTTTATGGCTCCTAACTTTACTGTCTTAGTTCCATCTGCTCTTACTGCTGACATTTTTTTGGATAAAACCATCAACATAAATGGTCAGGCGAACAAAGATAACAACCAGCTGGCTAATATATGTAGCACTAAGTGGGTAAAGACTCCCTCAGGGTTTTTTGGGTTCCAAAAAGCAGCTTAACTGGGATTAAATATTAGATTTAGGTTTTGAGACACACAACTAGAAGTGTCTGCCAATGTCGATATGTGTCACCTGGATGTGAAAATAGGCATCTGTTTTTCAGCAAATTCACCATAACGACTATGTTTCGATCAGGACTTAATTAAGAGTGAACATTATTAATTCAACCCAGTGTTTCCCCCTTTTTTTTTTTTTTTTCCCACTTTTTTTTGGGGCTTTTTGTGCCTTTATTGTAGAGATAGGATAGTGGATAGAGTCGGAAATCAGGGAAAGAAGTCATTTAGGATAGCTTTCAAATAGAAAAGGACAGCTGTCAGCAAGATTCCTTCAAGTGTTTGTGTCGGCGTGTCGGCGTGTGCCCCCGCCACCCCCCCCCCCCCCCAAAAGCTGTAAACCTAGGGGAAACACTGCAACCTATTTAGGAAAGATAAATGTCTCTGACGTTTAGACTCCATCATGATGCCTTCATAGGGGGGGGACACCCCTGATGGAGTCTAAACACTGACGGGGTTTGGGGAAAGATAAGATAATACTGTATTGTCCCCTAAGGGAATTGTGTCTTGGATTCTGTCCTGCAGAAGCAAGAGAATAAAACAGGACTCCTGTGACACTCCACTGTAAGGGTTTACAGAATGTGATGAGGAGTGGACTTAGGAGGAGCTGGTCATGGACATTGTTGAGATGTAGTGGAGGTGATTGGGATGACGCAGGGTCGCATCAATCAAACTGAAAAAAAGGAGAAGAGGAGGGATTTTAAAATATGACAGCAGCTGAATGATTGGTCAGAAGTCTTGGCAGGATATGGTGGTTGGTTAAGTACTTAAAAAGTAAAAGCCCCAAATCAGCAAATCACCAGACCAGAGAGACAGAGGGAAAGGGACGTGAATGCACTCTGACTAATGAATGAATGAGTATTTAACAGTCTTCCTGCTTGAACTTGAGATTCATAAATTGATAATTAGACAATTTTTTTTTTTTTATACAGCTTGTTGTGCTACAATTAACTGGACACTTATGAATGCATAGTATATGTGCTAAAGTACTAGCATGTACTACTAAAAAAAAAGAAAGTGAGCATTTTGTAGCAATATCTAAGTTTGTTCATTTTCTAAAAAAGGCACCCTTTAGCAAAATGAACAGCCTAAATAAAGCAGGAAATGTGGATTTTAATAGCAGAATAGTGGATTTTCTTTTTTGGTATGTATTGACATCACGAACCTCTCAAAAAATGGCCCACATTTAAGTTTTAGACAATTCCCATTTAAAACTCTGAAATGGTCTATAGTAGTAACATGAATAGGTGGCCACATATAGCTGGGGGTGAATGTTTAGCAGCAACAACGTTACAATAATCCATTCAAGATGCTCAAGGATAGAAAAACAAAGTAGACTAGCAAGTTTGTTTCAGCTGTAGGGTACAGTCAGTACAGTCCCACAATGCAGGCGTACTGACAGATTTAGTGTTAGCTTATTAAATGTCAAAGGGTCACACTGCACATACAGTATCTGATTTCCCTTTCGTTTGGAGGGAAATGTGTCCCATTGAAGTGTCAGAACAAAATGTACTCTGGCTCCATAAAGAGTTGAAAGGACCAGAAGTAAAGTATTAGCAGGGCAGCCAGTTGTTGCATAACTTTGGATGTCTCTCAGTAAAAAGTAAAACGATCTGCTGGATAACTTGGAGGGCAATTATTCACAGATGTGTTGAAGGAACTTTTATATGTGTGTAAGGGAAATGGGAAAGCTGTTTTGTCTCTCTGTGTTCATGCTTGAGCTATATGGTATTCATTGGTATGTATTGTTGTTTGTTTCCATCGTGTTTATTTATAGAGGCAGCTCATTGTGTGCAGCACTGGAGCCTAAAACACATTTCAACAAGTGGTCAAGAGATTGTATCGTATCGTTTATTTATTTATTTTTTTGTATAGTTTCTTTTCATATCGTTTCTTATCGTTTTTTTGGTATCATGTCGTATCGTTTCAAATCGTAGCATATCGTTTAGTTTAGTTTCTTTTAGTTTAGTCTTGTTTTTTTTGTCGTAGCATATTGAATCGTTTATTTTGGTTTCGCATCATGTCGTATGATATATTTTAGTTTAGTTTAATGTCCTTTCATAGCGCATCATATCGATGTATGTATCACAGGCACAGCTCCATTTGTTGTCTTTTCGATTATCCTACCTTAAATATATCCCCTTTATGTCCGTGACATCAGCCTGATATTTAAAAGAGAAACTCCCATCGTCACCCCACTGTCACTGAAACTATCCAGGTGTGATTATCTAAGTTTAATCTTCCCAATACGCATGTTTCCATTTGAGGTTGGATTTTTAAATTAACCAGATCTTCTATGCTTCTATACTAGAATTGTTTTGTAGCTGCTTAATCTTGGTGTTCAGCTAATGGACTGACCTTTACAGTAAGTTATGTCTGTTGGAGAGGAGAGAGTGGGTCCAAATATGTCCAGCACAACAGAAATAATCCTCCAATTATCTGTGACTGTGGGAAGGGAGAGCCCACTGACAATGTGGCAAATCCTGAGTGACAAAGCTTCTGTTTGTCTATGAGATGAAGGCTCGGCTGTCTTTCTGTGAGTGCGAGTGTGAGTATGTGGGTTCAAGCAAAAATCGCTTTGTCGCTCTATGGATGTCATTAAGAATCAACCACTGTTCATTCAGAGGAAATATAGATTACAAATACACAGACTCACAAGAACTACACTCATGGCATGTCAGAATAAATGCTGGACGTACTTGCTGCTAAACAACAGCAACCAAAAATGAAACTATAAGTGTTTGAGGTTGTGACAAATCTCTCATAATTTAACATTCTTACATTTCCATGAGTAAAACACTGTAATGAGCCCCAATGCAGGGATATTACAAATTGGGAGTTTATTCAAGCAATATATTCAAGCATTCATAGCTACCCTGCTTTTATTTTTTTCATCCATTTTTATTTTGTACTCTCTCTGAACTATAGGCCCAGGTTGAAGCCCAGAAGGCCACCCAGGAGTTCCAGCGGGCGGTGGAGATCTTGCGAGCGGCAAAGGAGACCATCGCCCTGGCCGAAGAGAGGCTGCTGGAGGAGGACAGTCGACAGTTTGACTCAGCCTGGCAGGAAATGCTCAATCATGCAACGCAGAGGGTACGTACCACACATGAGAAAGCTGGAAAATAGCTAGTAATGCACAGGTTACAAGTTTACAAGTTTACAAGGGACAGGTTTAGACTACGACTGGCATTAGAGCGAGTGAAAGTTTTTTTTTCATGATGTTTTATTTGCTTCTGGATTGTTTCAGGTGATGGAGGCTGAACAGGCCAGAACACGCAGTGAAGCGGAGCACAGAAAAACAGCAGCCAATCACAACTCCTGCATCAGTCACATGAGGCAGCTAGAGAAGAAACTAAAGCGCACAATCAACAAATCCAGGTCTGTGCCTTTGTTTCTTTTATCTGACTTTAGCTTTTTACTTTCCCCTGCCCTTTTTTTTCCCTTCTTCAGCCTCGCTGTATATCAGGATGAAAAAAGGGGGCGCTACATTTATGTCATCTGATGCAATCCAGATGTTTCATGTGAGGATTTTGCAATGTTGGGGTGTGCTCCCTTTGTAAGAGCCAAGGAATGTGGCTACTCACAGAGGAGTGTTTTTCTCCCAGCAGTTTCTCCAGTGACAGTTGGCAAAGTTTCGTCCTTCCTCTCTGAGTGTTTCTTCTCTTCCTCTCCCTGCAGGCCGTATTTTGAACTGAAAGCAAAGTATTATCTACAGCTCGAGGTATGTATGTTAGCAAGCTATATCAAAAAAATAAATCAACTGAGAATGTGAAGAGATTTTAAACCTTATCCTTATCTGTCTAAAGCCGTTTTCAGCCAAAAACCCCTGCAGCTCTAGCCTTTGCTCTCTGTGTTTTTTAAGTACAGCTGGGCACAGATGCAAAAGCACGTTTTTTTTTATTATTTATTTATTTTTTAGCACCAGCGCTGTCAAGCTTTTTGAGTTTGGCTTTCACGTCTCAACCATTCGCTTGCATTCCAAACAAGAGGCATTTTGAATAGCAAAAATGAAACAAAAAGAAATAAAACCAAATTTAGGATACCCAGGTAATGGTGCAAATGATTTATCTGGAGGAGAATACATTTAACAATCTAATGACTGACTTGTATATTCAGCTGTATTTGTTTGAGCCAGAGCATTAGGCCGAAGGAAATTCGGCAAGTTAAGTCTGAGGCTGAGGCTCTAGCTGCTGGCATGCAATGAGTTCTGTCAGCGTGGCTTTGGGAGCAGGACATCTGAGACTTATTCCATTAACCATGAACATTGACGATCCATCCTCGTGAATTTTTGTTAATTTTTTTAAAGATATTTCGAGCCAAGCAGTCCAAGCACACGTTTACTCCCATTGCCCAATTTGTCCAAACAGAACATCTTTATGTTGGTACCGCTTAGGATACATCGTGGTGAACTCTTATAGTTATAATTCCAGCATTCATTCATGACATCATTTGGTTGAAATTTGTATTTGTTCAAAATATTGGTTTAAAAATGGAGAACGTGTGACATAAGCAGCTTTATTTGTGAAATGCAAATGCAATGTTAACATGTTAAACTAAATTACTGTACTCATTACCTTATAAACATTAGCATGCTAACATTGCATTTTGTGAGCCTGATATATTACTTATGTGAGCTTCAAGCTAAAAACAACAAAACACTGAACAGTATGAGTGGTATAGTGAAATGTAGCCATAGTCCAGCTTTAAAGAGCTACTTTGGCTTTAAAATTGTGTTTGCTTTGGAATGAAAGCACTATCCCTGACTGTGAAATGTACTGTCTTTTGGGCTTAAAAACATATAGAGAGTTCTGCTAAAGAAGTATTATTTCAAAGAAACTTTGTTTTTGGGTTTGTCTATAGCAACTGAAACGCCAGGTGGATGAGCGCCAGGCCAAACTTGTAGTTGCTAAGGCGGAGTACCGCTCAGCGCTAAGCAACCTGGAGAGCATCTCTGAAGAGATCCATGCCCAGAGGCGGTCCCTCGCCATGGGAACCAGGGAGCAGGGTGTTGGTGCCGAGGGAGACGGTGGAAATGAGGACATTGCCAATTTTAAGATGGAGTCAGACGGTCTGTCAAGTGAGTAAAAAAATGAAGCTCTTTAATTAGTAGTCCCCCTCTTCACCCACGTTGTCAGCGTTCGTTTTGTTGATGCATCTGTGTGTCTGCATGTTTAATGAGTGTATGTGTGTTTCAGTGGTGTCAGTATCAATTGACGAAGAGGGCAGTCACAGTAGCAGCTCAGAAGAGGAGACCGACACTCACTCCACCTCCTCTCCCAGAGCTGTGCCCTCCTCACCCTCCACATCCTCCTCCCATACATCCAACTCAACCTACACCCCCCTGGACATGCCCTGTCCTTACCCATCCTCCTCGCTCTACATCCCTGCCTCCTGCCTGTCCTCCCCTCCCTCCTCCTCTTCCTCCGTCCTCTCCGCCTCTTGTCCTGATAGCCTGGAGGTAGTGAACCCCTGTAGCCCTCATGACCCCGACTCACTGTGCGGGTCTGGGCACACCTCACCTCTCCTAGGCCCCCGCAGCCAGTGCAGTGGCGCTTCCTCTCCAGACTGCGACCAGGAGAGAGGTGTGTTTCATGCATGTGTCCATGTGTGTTGTTGACTCTTCATCCTATCCGTTTCAGGGTTTTAAACTTCTTTAGGGACGCACTCAAGAAAGAGTTTGTAATATACTGGATCTGCCTAGAGTGTGGTTAGAAGATGAATACTAGAGTCACGTCTATCAACAGAACTGGTGTTGGGACCTGGTTAGCCTAGAATAGGATAAAGACTGGAACCAGGGGGGAACAGCTACCCTTGCTCAAGCAGAAGTTGATTACTGTCAGTACCATAACCTAACTTGTTCAAATATAAATTAGTGAAAAACATTTTGATTTCTCTTGGTTTTATGAGGAGATACGTGTTAAAAAGTCAGATAAGACTTTATCCATTGACCGAGAACTTTGATGCAGAATCTGCAGCTAAAGGACAAACTGGAAACAGACTCCTTTGTTTTGTGTCTGTACATCAACAGTTGTATCAGCCCTCAGGGTACCTCTCACTGATAACAGAGCTCCAGTACGTCACAGTGCCCTGTAAGGAATTTGACCTTAAATCACAAAAAGTCATTTTGACTATTTTGTTTGTGTACAAATAAAATAGTATATAAATAATATATTATTAATGAGCTGTAGAGGTATTTTGAACATGAGGCAGAGCTAACACTATTAACCTGTGCTTAGCTAGACTAACAAGGAAATGACTTAAAGTACTTCATCACACAATGACAACAATGATATTTAAATTCGCACTTCGCAAGGGAAAATATGAGATTAAGTGTGCAGCCTAAGATACCGTGGCGATATACCAAGGTAACAAGTGAACGACCTTCGTAGGATTGAAAACCCAGGGTTAACCCTGAAGTTACCTCACTAACAACGAATCCTGCTTTGTAGTACTCAGGCCCCTGGTTGAGAGCAAACACATCAAAACAACTACTGAAAGCCTAAGAAGCCATTCATCATCAAACATATCTCCAATATAATCTCCAGTTCAGGGGACACATGAGGTTCCACAAAGTACATTATGATCCAAGTACAAAATCTGAAATGTTGCAGTTTATCAAAAGTACTAAATAGGCTAGTAGATTATTTTCATCTTTCATCCTTTGTCATGTGTAAGTCCCCACAAAATATAATATCCCCAAAATTGACAAACATGTTGAACTGTAATCTAAAAAACCTGAAAAGGAATGAAAGTTGTAATTGTTCATCATTAATAAGATACTTTATGCTTTCAGTAACGGATTCTCCAATTTATAAATCAGGAGTGTTTGTGAGTTTGTGAGACATTGTGAACCTTGAATCATAAACTGAAACAAATCACACAGTATATTTACTTTGAGCGGTAGACATTTAATTTGAGGCTGATGTCAGTATTGTACATTTTTATATATTGAATGATTTCTGGGTATAATGACTCAAGTTTGAAGCTTTGATTCTGTCCCCTTGCGGATATAAAGAAGAAAAAAACACACCAAAAAGTACAAGAAGTTTTAAGACCACTATGCTGACATTGTTCACTGAAACTTGGGATGTTATATATCATATGGATATTTTCTTCCCCTGATCCAACAGAGTACATATGATTTGATTTTGGTGGATAATTTGATGTTCCATATTAAAAGTTTTTGGTTCAGTTTCATTCTGCAAAGACAATTCTAAGTGTATCCTTGTTTTAGTTTATCATGCAGATTCCTCACCATTCGCTCATTATTGAATGCGATCTGTTTGTTTGTGTGTGTTTGTTGTAGGTGACAGAGCGGAGGGAGCTGAGGCGAAGCTTGAAGCTGGTTTGACAAAGCTAACCTTGACTGCAGCACAACAAGAAGGAGACGCCGGGGAAGAACAAGACCCTCTTATGTGAACCCAGAAATGTCCTCTTCCAGCCCTGCAACTACCAGACTGATACTTAACAGTGTTTAATGCACATCTGTCAAACTTCAGACTCACGCCGTGCGCTGCTTCGAGGCTTAAACTGACCTTTGGCTGAACATCTGAAACAGACTGAAGACAGCAAGCTGCACACCGACCTGACATTATGTCTCCATATTGTCTAAACATCACATGATGTCATGTTAAGGTGCTACATGTAATGTACCTTAACATCAGTGCATCATGGTCATGAAAAACTATGAACCCATTAGTATTGTAAACACATCTGTGCAGAAGTTCTCTTTTTTTTTTGGCTGAAAAAAAAAGTAAATGTTGTGCCATAAAGATATTTCTTTGTTGTTCAGCAGAATAAGATTTTGTATAACTTGGCATATCGCATAGTGAGACTGTTAATCCTCTCAAAAAGGGTGTAGGTAGCCTACTGCTTCTGATTTGTGACAAAGGAAAACAAAAAAGTATTAATTTGCTATTGTTTGCACCATTTAGAGATGTTTGTATTAATGTGACCAGTAAGCCTCATTTTTGGATATGAATCTGATGTGGATCCAAATTTGACAAAAGAATAATCTGTCAGATGTAGGACTATAACTTGTTTTTTCATCGAGCTCCTCCTTTAACTCCTACTTTTAAGTCTGAAAGAAATGTAGCCGGTGGAGACTGTGGTTGTGGCTGTGGTTCTGGAGGAATGGTTGTCGAGAAGGAAATGGAGTGTAAGCCACGCTCTGAGCACTAAACTAAAGACGATACTGTCTTCGAATGGGGCTGAACATTTCAGACAACAATCGTCTTCCATTTGGATCTGTAAATAAGTGAGTGAATGTATTTTTGCGTGTAGCCTACCATCTGATGTGGAGGTGATTGTAGTGATTGAGTGAATGTTTTTTTTTCTGTGTGTCTTTGTCTGTGTTAAAAAAAACTGAAACCCCCTGTAGTACAGATATTCTATATTTATACTCCTGTATTCTTGTAAATGAACAGTTTTTTTGGTTACTGTTGTTGTGTAACACAAAATAAACGATAAACATGTGTCACATGTGAACAAATATATTTCATTGCCTACACATGCACATCCATCCCATTCTTGTAAATGCTATTTCAAATGAAGGCAGTTTGGGGATGTGTTGAATTGAATTATAATATATTATAATTTGTTGGTTAAAGGTCAAAATCACAGTGATCTCTGAAAAATATATTTTTTTGGCATAAACCTAAGAATTCATTTAATTAAAATGAGCCAATCTCATACTGTTTTAATGGATTAAAAAATGAGTGTTGACACATTTTGGCAAGTCAGATTGAAGTCTGGAAAAGCCTTTTCCTGGAGGCAACATTTCTGTGTGCTACTTGTTAACAAAAAAGACCTGCTCTTCCAGTTTTGCACAAACAGCCACCTAAATTCAAGGATAGATTGATTTAGCTTATAGGAAAGGTAACTGAGACCTCATGGATCCTGTTCCCTTGAACATACTTACAAAGTTTAGGGGCTATCTTTAAATCTGCAACAAATGTCCTCTCGGATTTAAAAATAAACTGATGATGAAATGCATTGGTTAAAAAATAAATTCCATTTCCGTACAATTCATGCATTTTGCAATGCCTAGACATGATTGTAAAACATCTGTTTGTTTCCATCTTATGTCAGAGAGAACATGCCAATGGCGTTGTTGTGCTTCAAAACTATTGTTTTTCTTTTTCATTTACAACACCTAAATCTCTGTAGAGGATACATTTACACTGTCATTCTCTTTCGACTACATGGGTCAGCTGCTTGATCGAGGAATATAATCGCTTTGGAAACAATCCTTATATTAATAATGAAGAACCATCATTAGCGTTTGGTTATCAATATTGGTCGTCAAATCAATCTTTAATCTTTTGGCAGAAAAAAATATTTTATGAATGGTAAGGTGGCGGGAAAAAAAAGAAGAAAAATGACATTTCATGCATTAAATTTAGAACATGTGTAAGTGATGTGGGTGTGAGCAGAGGGGGAGGGGGGAGTTTAATGAAGTCTTGCCAAATCTATTTTGACCCCTTTATTTTGTTTACCATTAACTGTTAGCTCTTGAACAGTCTGTGTGTGACTTTCCTGCTGATTCCCATTTCTATTTCAGCTCCTACTGTGCACTAAAAACACACGTTGACTGATGTCTGTCCTTTGCCTGCTAAGCTTTTGCATTGTTATGTCATGGATCCAGTTAAGTCCCTGAGACTTCTACCTGACAGAGTTCAGGGCAGGTTAGGGTTTCATTTAATGTGTTACTCTTCCTTCCTGTCCAATCTCTCCCTGCCTGCAGTCTGCACATGTTCCTGACCACAAGCTGCCCTTTAGTCTTTCTGTTTAATGGGATTTTTAACATGAGCCTTACAGGGCAGAGTGAGTCATACTGATTTACCATACTCTGTAAGATACTGACATCTAGTGGCAGGTTTGGGTGTTTATGCACTCTATTTTCTTAGAAAGAACTTCAGGTTATTTGTATGCAGAAAGTCCTCACCTATCATGTTTGAACTTGTCATTTTTTGTTGTAGTTAATTAAAACTCTTTGTGTCACTTTTATTTGTAATGAACAATGCACAGAGCTTCATACTGACACATACAGTAAAGTACAGAAGTGACAGGACATTGATATGTCACTGAATTCTGATTAAATTTTGATTATTATTTAATAAATGATAATAAATTATCTGGAGCGTCCTCAATAAAACAACCAACACAGGCTCACAGCTTCAGAGTGGAAACCTCTTTCTCAGGATGCAGCTACTTATGGGAAGTCATACAGACTGAGTAAATCCATTAACAAGAACATCCGGTCCAATTTCACCGCAACACTGGGCTTCAGATTTCTCTAGTACTGCCTCTATTACCACTGAAAGTCAGTGATCCAATTGGAAGCGATGTGAATTTAAGCTTACTATCCGTCTACTGCCCGTATGACGATTTTTATTTTGTCCCCGGCCTCTATACCAAATAACCTCACTTTTCAAATGGATGTAGTCAGGGATGGCACAATTTATTTATTTTTTCAGCAAAAACCTTTTAATTCCAGGCCCACTTCCAGTGCTGGTAGAGAACACATGCTTTGTTGCAGGCTCTAAGTCTTCATGAATGTTATTAATCAGCATTCTTAAAGTAGAGCTAAAGGCTTTGGCTTCATTGATATTCATAATATTTCTGGCATGGTATGTGTGATCAAAATCAACTGGGCTCCTGTATCCTTTCAGCGTTCATCATTTCTTTCACAGTCAAGACAACTTACATGAATGTCAATCACCTGTATTTTTTCCACCGGCTCTGAATACCCACTCTTCAATCATAACCAATGCAGCTTTACAGAGTTACACTTACTCTGACAACAGTTTTCAATTTAACGTAACCTACATGTGGTTGTAATTGATGTATTGCAAAGGTAATCTTTTGCCTTAAAAAGTAAGATTAGGTGCAGATAGCCTACACACATAATTTGACACCAGTAACCTTGTTTCCAAATTGGTGTATTATCTTTATGTTCCAGAAAAAGAGATTAAAGAGACTTGATTCACTTTTAAATTTGATTGCTTGATTCTTTTTTAAATGCAGAGAGATGTTATTGTGTATTAATTTTATGTTTGTATAACCAGGAACCACAAGAAGCCACTTTTTCCTTATTCAACCTTATGGTTGCATAAATATTGTAAGTGAATTTCAGCCCTTATTTTAAATTAACAATTTGTTTGTGGCAATGTAATGATTTATTTCTACTGAACAGAAAATCATCAATCCATCCACCTTTGCTTGTACTCAATAAATGGTTCAATGTTTTTTGTATCTGTGTGTTTGAATGTTCAAATGACCTAACATTTAAAGACATTCACTTATACTAATTACATTCAGTTTGTTTTTTACAATATGAAGTTGCTGTTAGAATGCACATTAGCCATTTTGGCATCATTTTAATTGAAGTTCAGCCAAATACTTAAATTGAAACGGGTGCTGCAGTGGCCTACTGGCAAAGGGCACAGTTCATAAACGGACTGTAAACAAAATACAGCACTGTGTTCTGCTGCCTCAGGACATCTTTTTGATGACACAACAATTGCATAAAATTATGACTTTGCACCACAGGTTGAACTACAGGGTAATACTTCTACACATGAGATTAAATATGCCCCTCTTTCGTCTTGGTGAGGGCTTCCCTTAGGCCTATTGTTACAAGCAATTTTGAGTAAAATGTGGATTATTTTCTTATCCCACTAATAGTAAAATGTACATTTCATAAATCAATCTTCTTCTAAAAAAATTCCATACAGCCTTGATAACTGCTCATGCTATGGCAAACAAAAATTATGGTAGCAAAAGTATATCTCCAAGTTCAAGTAATCAGTGCTTGTTCTTTTTGTTTTCTGTACTTGCGGTCTATTGATGGGCTACTTTAGTGGGTTTTCCTGCTAATTTCTTTGTGGGGGGAAAAGGCTTAGCCTACAACAATGAGAGACTGTAGCCATACAGTTCATTTAAGAAGTCCAGTAACAAACTAATGGCATTAATAATAAGAAACTACTGCTTGTTTATCAAATATTAACTAAAATAAGCTTGCTATGTTTTTAGTCCATGTACTGACACCTAGCTGCAATGGTAAAACAGTAAAAGTTTGCAGACGACACCTACCACATTGGACTCATCTCTGGTGGGGATGAGTCTGCCTACAGGTGGGAGGCTGACCATCTGGTGACCTGGTGCGGCGAAAACAATCTAAAGCTTAACGCTCTGAAGACAGTGGAGATGATCGTGGACTTCAGGAAAAATGCAGCCGCCCCCAGCCCCATCACCATTGGTGACTCCACGGTGTCTACTGTGGAGTCTTTCCGCTTCCTGGGGACCATCATCACCCAGGACCTCAAGTGGGAGCTGAACATCACCTCTCTCACCAAGAAAGGACAGCAGAGGATGTACTTCCATGATGGTGCACTTCTACACTGCCATCATCGAGTCCATCCTCTCCTGGTCCATCACAGTCTGGAACGCTGCAGCCACAGCAAAGGACAAATGGCTACAGCATATCAACCACTCTGCAGAGAAGGTGATTGGCATGCAACCATCTCTCTACGACCTGTACACCTCCAGGACCCTAAGGCATGCACAGACTCTCATCACCCCCACAGTCAGAAATCATCACAATAATGTGAAGGCTGGAACTGTTTCAATGCGTTACATTAACGCCCACTGGACTCTAAACTTATTTCATTACATGCACTCTGAGTAGATTTATACTGTAAGATTTGTTTCATAGTCAACTGCACAGATCCTTTATTGCACATTTTGTGTTTCTTGTATTTTTACATTTTTAAATTGTATATTTTATATTTTAATTGTTTTCATATTTTATTATTTAAGTTCTTGCTATTTTTTGCTTTATTTTATTTAACTGTTTTAGCACAAATACACCAAGACAAATTCCTTATATGTGTAAATGTAGCCTACCTGGCAATAAAGACCGATTCTGAAATCCTCCTCAAGCATTACAGCGGTATCCCTGACATGAACATCCTTTGACACTATGCAGCATCTTCCTAAAATCACAGCTTTATTCATAGTAGAGGAACTTGGGCCCCTAAAAGTTGAGATACCCCTACCCGAGGTAGAACAAATCACAACCATATTTTTTCATAACTTGAACAAGTCTAGTTTATGAAACGGATTGTTGTATAAAAATATTTTACTGCAAAATAACTTTTTTTGGATCTTTTATGCATCTTACCAAAAAACGAAAATAGGTCAAATTAGGGCTTCTCCAAAAGGGACAGCTCTAGCCTTATCACATGTATCTCTGGGAATCAGAATCAGAATTTCACCAAATTTGGAAAGGATGTTCACAGATAGTTATTAGTTTCAATTATGCAAAGTTTTTATCAATACCTTTTTCAGTTTTTGTATTTTTCACACTTAAACACACATGTAGTTTAAGTGGAACTTGAAACAAAAATTCAAAAGGTATGTATATCAAAGTCTGTCATTTTTTAAGTGAGGACACCAAACATTAAAATATGTCATTTTTATCTTCTTAAGACTGTTATCTCAACAGAAAAGCAAGTTATTTGACTTTTCACTTGACCCTATGCTGTCACCAGCCCCTAACAGGAAACTAGTGCAGCCAGGATTTCAGGGCGACCTGGTACAATAAGTGTCACACTAAGCATCCCCTGGAGACAAAGTTTGACCCCTTATCTCCTCACTGATCTTGTCCTGTGCTTGTGTAAGTTGTGTTTACTAATGAAAAATCTTCTTCTGCCAAGTTTGAACCGTCAAATATCTCCCTAACTCTGAATCTTGGCTGTAGAAAATGACACCAACACGCTGAAAGCAGTAATGAATAAGAATAATAAATATCTTCTATCTTAAGGTCTTGTTTGCTTTTGTAAACCATTTCACGATATCAGTATAAGTTTAAGTGAGCTCCATAACCAACCAAAACAATCCTTCCAGGAGCTTTAAGAAAACAACTGCTGCAGAAAATAACCATCAACAAAGTCAACCAACCAAAAATAACACAACCAAATCAGGACAACATAACCAAATCAAGACAACACAACCAAATCAAGACACCAAAACCAAATCAAGACAACACAACCAAATCAGGACAACATAACCAAATCAAGACACCAAAACCAAATCAAGACAACATAACCTAATTATTATTATTGATGATGATGGTAATGACGATGGTTTTTGTTTGATAAACATGATTTTAAGATGGTTTCTATACTGATTGAGCTCCCAAGAACAGCTGTCAATGTTGTGCTTTGCCTCTGTGCACTGCCTGTCAGCACTTGTGTCCGATCTGACTTAAAGCTGTTCATTTGCACTTACTGACATCGTTTTCCTCCTCTCTAGATCCTCGCTTTTGTTTTACTTACTCTCTAATGTACGTTGCTTTGGATAAAAGTTATTTTTGCTTGATTTAGTTATGGTGTCTTGATTTAGTTGTCTTGTCTTGATTTGGTTGTGGTATCGTGATTTAGTTGTCTTGTCTTAAAGATAAAGATAAAGATAAACTTTATTAATCCCCGTGGGGGAAATTTGTGCATTACAGCAGCTCCAGAAAACAGGGGACGGGAATATACTTATAAAAAATAAAAATAGAAGTTAAAAACAGATCAAACATATTTACATCATTTAAATAAAAAAAATACAATAATGTAAAAAAAATACAATAATGTAAATGTAAAATTACACAGTAACTTGTTCTTAAAAAAACACACACACAGTGTGTAGCATGAGGTGGTGATGTTGTTAAAGAGTCTGATTAAAGAGTCTGACGGCAGATGGAATGAACGACCTGCGGTAGCGCTCTGTCTTGCAGGGTGGGTATCTCAGTCTGCTGCTGAAGGAGCTGCTCAGAGCCCCCACAGTGTCATGCAGGGGGTGAGAGGGGTTGTCCATGATGGATGTCAGCTTCACTAACATCCTCCTCTCACCCACCTCCTCTACAGAGTCCAGAGGACAGTCCAAGACAGAACTGGCCCTCCTGACCAGTCTGTTCAGTCTCTTCCTGTCTCTCTCTGTGCTCCCTCCTCCTCAGCAGACCACTGCATAGAAAAGTGCAGACGCCACCACAGTGTCATAAAAAGTCTGTAGCTGAGTCCTGCACACTCCAAAGGACCTCAGTCGTCTCAGCAGGTGAAGTCGACATTGGCCCTTCTTGTACAGGACGTCGGTGTTGTGTGACCAGTCCAGTTTGTTGTTGAGGTGAACACCCAGGTATTTGTACGTCTCCACCCTCTCAATGTCCAAGCCCTGGATGTTCACCGGTGTAGTCTATATATAATTATATATAATGAGGTAAAATAAGTGTATAAAGAAGTTTTTTATGAACATGTTTGCATGATTGTTATCCTAATTTACCTCACACACATTTACGCCATCATAAGAATTGTTTTGTATCCCAGCTCCATTGGTTGCCTGAAAAAATCATTCAACAAAGATAGCTATTGTAGCTTTTTTTAACACTTTATCATACTTAGGGTATTATAAAAACTATCCCTTCATCCAGTGTATCCTCTGATGTAACTAGGGTTCATCTTAAAAGCAGGAGATATGGTGACTACACACCATCTTTATATGACTGAAATACATTAAAAAACTACAACAGGCTGTATAGCCGATATACAAATACACTATATGAAGTATATTTAATTTCTAAGAACTCCAGGTTATATATATCAATACTGTTTTTTAGTTCATTAATATTTCACAGCTGATGGCAAGACAATGCTTTATTTTTTTAGAATGAAATAGAAACAATGTCATAGGTGACAATATTGTTGAAAGCAGCGGGTTGGCTCTGAGTGTCATCAAATAAATCATATGTAAGATAGAAAATATGAGACGAAATGTATTAGGAATAACTATAAAATGTTTAATTATATATATATATATATTACAGAATACAACTATATTTTGTCTTGTTAAGTCTTAATCTATTGTTTGTGGCCACCTCCTCCCACATACACATCCATAGGGCCCCATTGTACCAGGTCGCCCTGAAATCCTGGCTGCACTAGTTTGCTGTTAGGGGCTGGTGACAGCATAGGGTCAAGTGAAAAGTCAAATAACTTACTTTTATGTTGAGATAACAGTCTAAAGAAGATAAAAATGACATATTTTAATGTTTGGTGTACTTAAAAAATGACAGACTTTGATACACTTTCATTATTATATTTTTATTTATTTTTGTTTCAATTTTCAATTTCCGCCTAAACCACATGTGTGTTTAAGTGTGAAAAATACAAAAATTTAAAATGGTATTGATAAAAACTTTACATAATTGTAACTAATAACTATCTGTGAACATCCTTTCCAAATTTGGTGAAATTCTGATTCTGATTCCCAGAGATACATGTGATAAGGCTAGAGCTGTCCCTTTTGGAGAAGCCCTAATTTGATTTATTTTTGTTTTTTGGTAAGATGCATAAAACATCCCAATTTTTTTATTTTGCAGTAAAATATTTTTATACAACAATCCGTTTCATAAACTAGACATGTTCAAGTTATGAAAAAATATGGGGGGGGGGGTTGTCCCTCTACTGTCAGTGGTCACATGACATTCTTTTAAATTAAACATCCTCTTATCTGATCGGAGGTTTCACCACACAGGACTGTGATTGGTTTAGACCCAGTGCGATTGGTTTAGACCCAGTACTGTGATTGGTTTAGACCCAGTGCGATTGGTTTAGACCCAGTACTGTGATTGGTTTAGACCCAGTACTGTGATTGGTTTAGACCCAGTGCGATTGGTTTAGACCCAGTACTGTGATTGGTTTAGACCCAGTGCGATTGGTTTAGACCCAGTACTGTGATTGGTTTAGACCCAGTACTGTGATTGGTTTAGACCCAGTACTGTGATTGGTTTAGACCCAGTACTGTGATTGGTTTAGACCCAGTACTGTGATTGGTTTAGACCCAGTACTGTGATTGGTTTAGACCCAGTGCCGTCTGGTTAGCTATTACGTTAATGTGGAGACATAGGTTAAAGAGTCATGTGTTTTGGTTGGAGTTCAGTTCTCCTGCTTCACTCACTGTATGTCTGAGCTCTCGGGGAAAACAATGCGTGTTTACTTCGCAGCTGTTCTTCTGCTGGCCATCACAGGTAAAAGACAACATGCAGCTTAATATCGACGTGTTTACGGTTAGCTAGCTCCGGCTACGCCAGCTGCTAAGGTGGTGTCATAACATTTGTTTTGTAGTGACTATCGCTCAGGTTATCTTACAGAAATAAACTTAACATTTAAGAACATTACAGCAATGGTTAATGCGTGACTTCCAATTACAAAGGACGACCATGCAGTTTTTTTTTGTTGTGAGATATGCTACGCGTTGAAAAAGAGCTCTCTCACCAAACATCTGCTAACATCTGTGAACTTAAAGTTGGATGTGTTATCAGGATATGCACATGTAGTCTTTAAGTGTTACTTATAATCTCAGACGAAATGAAAGTATCCATTTGATAATTCGGCAGAGATACAATTTAAATTGACCAAATTAAACAGGAAGTCTATTTGTCATTAGCACTTGTGCTTTCAGCCATGATAAAGCGTCAACAACACTAAATGAAGTTTGGGTTTGTGTGTCTCTTAAGGTCAGCCTGTTATTTCTGCTCTGAGACTTGGAACTATGTGAATTGTTTGTTATATTTCCGGTTGAAATTGCCTGTCAAAGATACCAGATAATTGTCTGTCGTTTGTATATCGAGAATAAAATCCAGCGCTGGTTGAATCACCACAGTTTCTGTTGAATATATTGAGTAAATCGTACAACATTGTAATGAAAACATAGGGACATCCATATCAATATTTCAACACGGCTGTTTTCATTTAGTTCATTTAGTTGTGCTTGATGAGGTCAATATTTGCTTTTCCTGTAGCTTCAGAGGGCAAAGCAGTCCCCTCTCTACCAAACTTTGGGAACAGCTATCATGTTAAAGGTAAGCAGTGCAACATCAGAATAATTGTGTAATGCCTCTTTTCCCCTGTAAAATTAGCTTCATAGTGTATTTCCATTGCAGGAGTGATTTCTCTCCCTTATGCTGAGATCAAGGAGCCGTTCGAGGCCTGGTTAGACCTGGCAGCAAAGTCCAGCCGCATCGACTACTACCATGGTAAGAAATCTCACTTAACCGGGCTGTTTCTGTTAAACCTGACTCTGTATGTCTCCTGCGTTGTTGATGTGAAACTAAGAAGCTGTTGTTTCAGACTTGAGTAACCAGAGCAGAACAGATTCAATCGGTGCTTTTTAAAAAAGAAGAAAGAAAAAAGGAAGTGAAAATGAATAAATAAAAACTTTAGGGAATGTTTTCTGTTGACTCATGTTTCAAACTCATGACTTGAAATCTTTATTGTCTTGTTTAGCCGATTGTGAAAGCTGTATCTTTGGTTTACTAACCATCCTGGTGTTAGGTGTCAACAATTTAGTTTATGTAAAAATTACTTTATTGCATCATAAAAAATAAAAAAAAAACACCTCAGCTATTATTCTTCAGACTGGGACTGTTTACTACAGCAGTGTTTCTCCCCTACCATTATATCCCTTACCACATGCACGAACAGGATCCTATGGACATGCATTAATGGAGAGGTCTCAGAGTGAGGCTGCCCACAGTGAGCGCTCCAGAGCAGTTTTGGGGTTCGGTGCCTTGCTCAAGGGCACCTCGGCAGTGCTCAGGAAGCGGACTGGCACCTCTCCAGCTACCAGACCAGTTTCAGGACTTGGTCTGTGCCGAGACTGCCCCAGAAGCATGGCTACTTGATTAAGAAAGCCAAAGTAGACCCAGGCTCAGCAGACAATCAGTCCACTTTTAGAGCGAAAATTACATAAAATGCACAAAATATTTAATTGTGTGATGTAGACATTTGAACAAAGGGATATTTAATGAATCTCTGTATAATGTTAAATAAATTGACCCTCATATTTCCAGACTAAGGGACAGCAAAAGGTCTCCTAAAAAGGAAAATGGTACCGCAAGTCCTAAGCACATTGATGTGTGGCTACATATTATTGCACACTACATCAGGTGAGAGTTTCTAAATTTAACATCTCTTACTTACCAACAGGCCAGGTTTCCACGTACCAACTGGGGGCCGAGAAGCCGTGGGGAGTTTCAAATAAAATCTCTCCTGAGACTACAGAGGTAGAGCTGAATGTGATGAAGTGTTTCCAGGTCAATGGAACAAAGGATGGAGCAGTCACACCACAGGCATCACTGCCTGACGTGCAGGGCTTCCAGGTCTGTATGTGTAAAGAAAGGCTCTTCATAGTATTGAAAAAAAGTGCAGACTGACCCTGGGGATACAGATTTGAAGATGTTGCTGCTTCTTTACATTTCTAGTCTTATGCTCTGGTTTCTAACACACCCTCATTTCAGGCCGTCTGCCAAATTATAAAAAGGCTAGTGTTTTTCTAGACAAGAAATTACAAAATTAAGTTAATTATCCTGTTTATCAAAAAATGTTTACTCCTTAATTACCCATTGTTCTAACCTTGAATTATTGCTTTTTTTTAAAAATCTGCCTAATTTTCTGTCTGTTCTCACGTGATCATTTATATCCTCCACAGTTCCTGAGGATGGAGTACTATGGAGGCTCCTTGTGTGAAGTCTGGCAGAATGTGACCACTGTAGGTCAGAAAAAGAACACATACACACTTTGGGTGACTCATTCAGAAAAAGGTCAAGACGGTAAGGAGGATCCTGCCACACCGCTCCATTATGAGATGATGGGATACAACACGCTGCTGGGCTCCCATTATGACAAATATTTGGTGGACTACAAAGAGTTCAGCACTCATGTGGACCCCAAAGTGTTTTTGCTACCTGAAGGTTTGTATTCTGTTGTAGCAGCATTAATGCAGATTTAAAAAAAGGGGGGGGATTAAATAAATGCTTAAAAAAATATTTTTGTTTGTTGCCCTTTAGGGATGAGCTGCGGGGGATTTCCTGGTCCAGGAGTGGAGCACCACATGTTGGTCAATCCCATGAAAGATCTAATCCACACATCAGCATCAGGCCATTCACAGCACATGTTCGACCATTTCAAGGAGAAGTTTCAGCGTCAGTACAGTGATGAAAGAGAGCATGAGAAGAGGGAGCATGCTTTTGTTCATAATCTCAGGTGAGAGGAATTAAAAACACTCAGCTGTGTTACAGATGCACCACTGATATAGTCTAGAGGCATGCTAACTGCTTCCAAGCACAAACATTGATTGTGACTTTTTAGTTGAACAGTTTGATGCCCTTTGACTGGTTTCTTGTTCTTTAGGTACGTGCACTCCAAAAACAGAGCAGGGCTTCCCTTCTCTCTGGCTCTGAACTCTCTGTCAGATCGCACAATGTCAGAGCTGGCCACCATGAGGGGGAGGAAACATGGAAAGACTCCAAATAGAGGGCTCCCGTTCCCTGCCATGATTTACGAAGGTGTAAAAGTACCTGACTCTCTTGACTGGAGGCTTTATGGTGAGTCTATGCATTGAAATGTGTTTCATGAGATGCATTATTCTTCAAGGGATAGCTTTGAATTTTTATAAACTCTGCTGTTGCAGGTGCTGTGACCCCAGTAAAGGATCAGGCCATTTGTGGCTCCTGCTGGAGTTTTGCCACCACTGGAGCAGTAGAGGGCGCTCTCTTCATAAAGGTGAAAAGACTGGAAAATATTACAAAACAGACTGCACCACTCATTCCACTGTTTTCACCTGCCAGGATACTACCTGATGCTCTTTGAATCACCAGTTGTTGCGCGTGGTGGTTCATCTGCCCATGTTCTGGTTGCTTTGCATTGCAATCTATTGTAGGTATCTGTCTTTATTTTTAAGAAACAATATGATGACTTAAACGACCCTTGAAGCTCTAAAAGCAATGTATTATGAGGCGCTGGTTGCGCAGTGGTTAGTGTGCGCGCCCCATGTATGAAGGCTGTAGTCTTCCAAGCAGGGACGGCCCAGGTTCGAATCCCGCCTGTGGCTCCTTTCCCGCATGTCATTGCCCACTCTCTCTCCCTGATTTCCCACTCTATCCACTTTCCTATCTCTCCATTAAAGGCACAAAAGCCCCCAAAAAAATCTTATAAAAAAAAAAAGATCCAACGAATTGAAATTATAATATTTTACAACTTTTGAAAAAGGTAAATCATACAAAGGAAAAATGTAATATAGCAATGCATTTTTCTATTAAATCTTGATAACACTGACAGGTTGAGCATGTATTTTATAAGTTTAGTGGGAAACAAATAGATATATATTATATAATTTGGATTCTGATGTTCTTAGTTTGAGGTTTAGTTTTATTTTCTCTATTGGACATAAGAGAAGCATCCTTTTGAGTAAAAAGAAGTGCCCCCCCCCCCCTTCAGAGTTGGGGCGGGTCCAGTCAACAAGACTGTTCATTGTGCCACTGTCACTCACTTTAGACGGACCTTAGTGGGAATAATAGTTGTGAATTACTGTCAGCTTTGGCCTTCCTCCATCCCATGCAAGGCAAAGCTCAAAGGCATTCCTTTCCACTGTTGCTGAGCAGCCTGAACTAGACATTGAATGGTTTGTAATGGGATTTGATGGTACCCCCATTTACCAAAATTTTGACTAACACACACTCTATAAACAACTCAAACTCAACAATTTCGACGACCACATTGAATTTGATGGCTATTCCAGCCTAGTGTGAGAATTCATGGCGCTCAGACTGTCAAGTTGTCATCTTGAAGTAATTGGTTTGTGGAGTAGATTTTTTTTGTTTTCCATCAGTCCAAAAACCTGACAATTTTTCTTTGCTTCTTGCTGATAATTCAAATTTGGTGACGTTTATAATGTGCTTGTATAGTATAGTATATTACAAATCTAGTCACAGCAAGCTATTTTTGTCTTTACCTTTTTTATTAACAGAAAATTTACTGAAATTAAGCATCTAGCCATTCAATATTTCAGATGAGCGTTTTACAAAGACATGTAACAAAACATAATAAGCCCACAGATGACAATGATGTAAGAACCCCTAACTTGAAAAATGTAAGCAATGCACGGTTTCAGTTTTTGCTTGGACAGTTTGATTTGGCAAGTAGAAAAGTACTGTTGTGAAGCAGTTCTTCGTTGGGCCTTTGCCAGCACGAGGCACAACAGCAGGAAGTGACCTGCTATGGGCACCTGGGTCACCACAGGCAGCTTCATAAATAAAGCCACTCCCCAGGGACCAATTTGAAATGTACTTTTTCCTGATCTCCCAGCATCTTCAGAGCAACAAGTAAATAACTGCTGTGTTGAAACTATTCATTATACAGTTAGCTTTTCTTTCTCAAATCGTTTTCTTCAGCTCATTTTTATTTTCTACATTTCTAATCAATAATTCCGGTAAACTCTTATGTTGTCTTGGAAAAGTGTTTTCTTTTTGTTAGTTTTATGCTCCTTGCTATAAACTGTAGCTTGTGAAATTACTATTCTGTTTGTACTTCTGAGAATGTGATTAATGCAGAACAAGGCGGGTTACTAGTCTCTTTTTGGGGTTTGATGTTTTTTTTTCTTGTTTTTCAGACGGGCTCCCTGCAGGTTCTGTCCCAGCAGATGCTTGTGGACTGCTCCTGGGGTTTTGGCAATAACGGCTGTGATGGAGGGGAGGAGTGGAGAGCATACGAGTGGATTATGAAACATGGAGGCATTGCTACAATGGAATCTTACGGATCCTATATGGGAATGGTGAGATGATACCAAGATGTAATGCCTTTCCCTGTAGTAACAAAATAAAGGATGAGCATCAACCTCTGCTATCTTGGCACAGGAAGCAAGGCTGCAAAGCTCAGCTGGACATTTTTTAGAATACAAAATAATAAAAGTAAAAAGATCTAGAAATAAACAAAGTTGATGCTGAAGTTTGCCAGTTGAATTTGAAATGTGTCCAAGAAGACCATCATCTAGCCTGGTACTAAGTATTTGACCTGATGGACACATTCTGTGTCTGCATTATTTAACATTTGTCTGCTTTGAGAATATCATGTTATTTTTCTTTGCTTACTTCAGTTTCAGACCAGCCAAAGTTTGTTTGCTATAATTAAGATCAGTCTGTTAATCATAAGAGCTTGAGTGACTGACAGTGAGGACGAATACAACATTGTATCATATGGATGTAAATACAAGTGGCCCCAGTGTACATCCCTGGGGTACTCCTTTAATGACCATCATGAAGGGGGGGTGTTACATTGTCCAACAATAACAAGAGATTGCCTTTAATGGCTTAGAAAAGTAGAGATGATGCAGAGAATGTTTGATGGCCAGATGTAGATGCCTTTGAAATGTATGATAATTGGGTAAAATTAGATTTATTTAGAAGTTGTCACTTAACTTATCCAACAAGTTTTACTAAAATTTGTTTTTTTTAGGAAGCTTTTAAAGGTTAAACTGTTGGAGTTGTATCTGCGGCTAAATTGGGACTTTTGTTCCTAATCACTACCAAGGCCTTTTTAGCCAGATGATTCCAAAGTTATTTATCACTACCTCTATGCTCCAAGGGGGCACATACTGTATGTTCTTGACCTACAGAATGGTTTCTAGTACTTCACCACTACAGGCTAAAGTTTTTTTTTTTTTGTTTTGTTTTTTTTTCCCCCTCTCTCTCTTAACAGAATGGATTTTGCCATTTGAACACATCTCAGCTTACTGCACATATCCAGAGCTACACCAATGTCACATCGGGAGACGCAGAGGCCCTTAAGCTGGCACTCTTTAAAAATGGGCCAGTGGCAGTCAGTATTGATGCTTCACATCGATCATTTGTTTTCTACAGTCATGGTGTCTACTATGAACCTGCTTGTGGTAAGTTTTTATTCTCACTGATGCTCACACTGTATATTAAAAACAGTAAATCTCTCTAACTCTGCATGTTGTTTTCTAGGTAATAAAACTGATGACTTGGACCATGCTGTGCTTGCAGTGGGATATGGCACCCTGGATGGGGAGCCGTACTGGTTGATAAAGAACTCATGGTCTACCTACTGGGGCAATGATGGCTACATCCTAATGTCTATGAAAGATAACAACTGTGGCGTCTCTACTGATGCCACATATGTTACACTGGCATAGATTCTCCCATTTTCTACAGTTCACTTAGCAGACGCTTCTATCCAAAGCAACGTACATCAGAGATTAAGAACGACACAAGCAAGGATCTAGAAAAAAGGAACAATGTCAGTAAGCGCAAGCTTTGAGTCCGATTGGACACACAGGTACTGAGGCAAAGCTCAACATTCACGGCAGTTCTTGAGAGCTCTAATCAGGATAAAAACCATCTTACCATTTTCTCTTTGTATGTGTTAATGCCACTATGTGAGTGCCTAAGGATGAGTACCACTTGATTTGGATGTGTTGAGTGTATAGTGATGAAGATATTGTAGCTGTAAGTATGTACCGGTAAGTTGTTGACGAGGGTGAATGCTGTACAATTCAAACACACAACAAATCTGCTTATTCAGACATGATTTTGATGTATTTATTGCAAGTGGCACAGTGCCTTCATTTCAGCTGTAAAGTAAAGCCTGACACATTTCCACTTGTCCTTGTTCTTTCACATTTGTTAAGATTAAATGCACTGGGCTGGAATCATTGCAATAAAAAATGACTTGTTTACCACTACCTGACTTCTCTGACATCTCCTGTTTATTTAAAATACTCATTCTGGCCATCTCTCTGGTATAGGAAGAAAAGATTCTTAACAATCACACAGTCACCTTTTAATTTGTGCTTTATAAAAGCCCTTAGATACTTGTAAATATTACAAGATATTTCCCAGATCCATGTCGAACTAGCTAGAAATATTAAATCAATATAAGACTACAAACAATGCTGAAATCAATTATCTTTTTACATGCAGATCACATTTGCTTTCCAAATAAAACTACATAAGTCTAACACAAGGCTACATTAGGCATAACAAAGTTAACTTGTGCATGCAATCTCACTGGACTAGTTTTATTCCTCTTGAGTAATGCAACATGGAAAATGAGGCATTTTCTTGTTTAATACAGCAGTAAGATTCAACCAAAATATTCCACAGACATGGTACCCTGTAACAATAATTATTGGTGCTTTTGCTGAATGCACTGAAATGTTATCTTCCAGTACTGAAAAATTCTTGTCAAGTCTCATTTTAAATTTCAGCTCTGCTTTTAAAAAAATCTAAATTGAAATAGAAACATATTTACATATATACCATCTGTATTTTTTTATTATGGAACAATTTGCATCTTTTCAAGCCGGAGAAAATGCATATGATCCCAAAGGAGTTCTGTTTACTCCTGACTATCTCCAGGTGTTTACCTAACCTCGTAAAACAGAAGGCTATTGATTTGAGCTGGCAGGTTTCATGAATACCTGCTTTGTGCTTGTGTCCATGCACACCAACAACCTGGTTTGGTGAGTGCTATATGTTTCACTTTCTTGCATTGAGTTCTTGGTCAGATCCTGACACGTAATTGCGTAGAGGATGTTTGATGGCACAATGCATCCAGTAACAAATGTGAGACTGTATGCCATGGGAATTATGTAAAGTATGTGTCCTCTCTCATGCAGTTAGGCCTGGCATGCTAGATGTCGTATCTCCTGCTCCTCTGTGCTGCCCGCTGATTGGGTGATATCCTCTGACATCTCAGGGTTCTTTTTGTTGGAAGGCGATCTGCAGGAGACACAACACAAAGTACACACTGAGCTGGTTCTGGTCTTCAAGTTGGAACAAGCAAGGCTACAATGTCCTATTCAGTGTCATGGAAGCTGAGGATTTACTAAGACTGTGATACCACTTCCAGCTCCTGCAGTTCACATGTATAAGTGTCCTTGACTAAGACACTGATCCCCAAATTGCTCCTGGTGGCATAGACAGCAATGTGAATTAGTATGGATGGAATACTAAGGGGCCCTTTACATAGCGTCTTCTGTTATCAGTGTAGGATGTGTAAATAGGTGAATGTGACATCTAGTGTTAAAGTGCTTTGAGTACTCCCAACCTCTGGAAAAACCCTATATGAGCACAGTCTATAACCCAATGATAACAGAGTAGTGTCAGTGTAGTACCTCATGTCCCAGTTCTCTACATCCTCTATGGTGTCAGGAAGAGGTCTGCCAGCAGTCTCAGGAAGTGCCAGAGCCAGAACAGCAACCAGTAGCGGGGAGGTACCGAAGATGATCAGAGGTATAGCAGGGTTGCTGTTATGGAGCAAGTTGATAATAGGTGCTAGCATACCACCCATCCGCGCAAACATACTTGATACACCTATTCCTGTTTGCCTGTAGGTACACCCGAGATAACAAAATGCAAGTATTACCCTCATAAGTTTTTTATAATTACTCTGTGAGCATGAGAAAGAAAATACTGAGTAAATACATTTCTCACCGAAGCACAGTGGGAAATATCTCAGCTGTGTAAACGTAGATTATAGAAAAGGAAGCTGTAATACCAAACTTCCCCACCATAGCAAGACCAGTCAGGACATTGGGGTGATCTGCAGAGGAGAATCAACAGACTTGTGAGTTACATTTGTGCACACTTATTTGAGATTGACATGAGAAGATGTTTCTCAAAATCAGCAGAAGATGACATTCCTGTCAGAGCAAATCGAGTGGACGTCATACCTTCAGGGACAGCAAGCATGAGTAGACAGGCGAGACCTCCGACAGCCAAAAACCCACTTTGGGAGAGTCGACGGCTGCATGGCAGGAAAAGCAATACGAGCGAACGAGCTGGGATCTCAACCAACCCAAACACAAACTGGGTCAGGTAGAGGTTTGTGCCTAATCTGGACACGCCCAGTGAGAGGCCATAATACACCAGCACAGTCACAAACCTTGGGTGCACAGTAAAGGACAACCATCAATGTAGACAGAGGAGAAAAATTATGAAATAAAAGGATGAAAGGATTACATTTTTGTTTTATAACTGACTTTAAAATGTAATGAAAATGCATTTGTGCATGCATATATACACAGGCACTGTACCAGATGTAAAACAAGATGATGGCCCTCTTCCTCATCTGAGGTGTTCGAACCAGATCCACAGCTGAATGACTTCGTTTGGCTCCGTCTAAAATATTCTCAACCTGGATACATTTAAACCCAATTCTATAGAAGGTAATCTTGAATTCAAAGTCGGACACATCATATCCCTCCATACCATAAAGCTGTTACCCATAACTTTTAAAAACACTTTAATGAGTTAAACCTTTCTAACTGGATTATATTATCCTCACGTCCTTATTCACATGAAAATGGGCAATGTAGTTTATTTTGAGACACCATCTGGCGCTAGAATACTCACTACAGCACTCCATATTTTCATTTATTCATTGTAAATAAGTACTAAATTATTTTAATATTCAAAAAAATACATTTTTTTTTCTTTTTTCAGAGGATAACTTTCAAACTGCAGCTTTATGACTACATTATTATGAATAACTGGAATTAAGTTTATTTATTTTTATAATGCAGTATTATTTATTATATCTGCTGTTGCTGGCTGTAGCCTTTTTTACCAGGGAGAGAAGCATACACTTTAAAAAAAAAAAAATCTAACTCTACCAGATTAACATCAGGAGTAAGAACATTTGACTTTGGGGGGAAAGGGAAGTTAACAAAAAACTGTTTTGTATTTATGTCACCACCCATTTGCTTTTACAAAAACGTTACCTGTACAACAGGAGGTAAGACCCGTCCATTAATCAGCGCTGCCTTGCGGAGAAGTGCAATGGCCTCCTCACTTCTGTTATTGGCCAACAACCACCTGGCAGACTTCGGAAGCACCCTGACAGAAGAAAGAGGGAGAAGGGAGGAGGTAGAGAGGAAAGAGTCGGAAATGGTGGTGGGGGGGAGCACAAAGACTACATTCAAGTCTTAATGTATGAATACACAGTGGATCTAATGTTAGGTTGACATTCAAGTTTCCCACCATATATAAAAGATGAGCAGGAAGCCAGGGGCTGATATGGCCATTTGTAGTTTTCTCCAGTCTCGTATGAAATATGCTATGCCTGCTAGAAGCATGTAGCCCAGACCAAATGCGTAGTCAGTGATGACACCTGCTAGCATACGCCTCTTGGTGCAAGTCCATTCAGTGCCTTCAGAAAAACAGTACAGGGTTTGGAGAGAGGGAAGAAGAATGGGAAGGAGAGGACGGGAGTCACATGGGAAGAGGGTTACACTTGTGGTGATGGTTTAGGGATTTGAGGTAGTGGAAAGATGGGAAAGGGTTTTTGTTCTGAGATGGAGCAAATAGATTAAAAAGCACGAGACAATAGATTAAAGCAGGGTTTAACCTCTGGTGGCCACTTAACAAACTTTTATTTCAATCCATAAAATAGATGTCAAGATATTCAGTCTGATGATATAAAAATACTGCTTCAATTAAATTCAATTCAATGGAAAAATCACTACATGTAACGTTTGGCGCTTTTGTTGACCAATTAAAAAGCTTGTCAAAGCTAAGATGCATTCAAATGCATCCAAAAGTTACGTCCCGCCTTCTATCTGATTGGTTCTATCCCATTTCAGTATAAAATATATCACAACACAACAATAAGATACTCTACAAGTTCTGTTTCAGGCGGACTTTAAATAGGTTTGATACTTGTTTTTTGGTAGCCTAAGAGACAGAAGAATTTGAAAAGATAATAGAAACAATCAAATGTAATCTCAGTGGATTTATCTAACAATTGCAATCAATTGATATCTAAAGCTTACTGGAATTTAACAGCCTCTGTAAAATGAAAAAAAAAAAATTCAGATCAGCTAAAAGGAAACGGAAGAGCATTATGTTAATATCTGATGATTAATATTAAAGCTCTATGCTATTGCTACTGCAATTATCTCACATTGTTTGAGTGTCTGTGTTTTGTATGTACCAAGCACAAAAGCATTGATGATAACCCCAGAGATCATGGCGCCAACTGTAAAACGAAGAATCACATAGACAGGAAAGTTGGGTGCAAAGGCCACAGCAACTCCAAACACAGTCTGAAGAGCGATGGACAGCAGCAGGACGAAACGACGGCCATACCTTGCAAAAGACAGAAAGCTTGGACATCAGATTGCTTTCTAAGAACATAAGCAAATGAGTGCATTGGTGAACCGATGCTAAAAATGTGAGAGCAGTCTTGTACAGATAAATATGGAGGTGTTGGTGTGTGAAAACTGCCACACCTGCAAACACACCTGGGGAAATCTTTGTGTGTCTCTGCCTGTAGCCATGTTTTGATAATGAGGACCTGGCTTGTTTTGTAGCAGTACAAAGTCAGAAGTGAAGGAGCTCAAGGCAAAAGTATCAGCTCACCTGTCAGCCATGGCTCCAAACACAACAGATCCCACTAACAGGCCAGACATGTAGATAGTTGAACCAAGACTGTTCAGTCCAGCTTTGTCACACACCAGATCCCACTGGTATAAAAAAAAACACATAAACAGAGGAGATTGCCTGTATTAGTAGAACATTGATGTGGTGATAAAAACACCTTTTTTTCTCTTTTGGTTCATTTTCTTTCTAAAACTTTTGACTTTTTAAGCAATAATTATTTGTCTTCTTTATATGAGTTTATATTGGAGTTTAACAGTATTTTGTTTAAGGCTGTATATTTGGACAAAGCAGGCAATTA